GGAGACGTATAAATAGAAAGTTTTATTTCGATCTCCGTTCACCGCAAATTTTACATTCCACGATGTATTGTCTTTTCTTTGTATACACATGTTGCATGAATACAACTAGATACAAGTTGAAAAAACTATGTTAATTCCCGCGCATCATTCGTGTTTCGGATTAGAGCTCGAGATGAAAATTTAAAGATTAATTTTACCATGAAACTTTTTGTGCATTTGCTTTCGTTGAAAGAACTCAAGGCATTCGTTGAGTAAAATATTATGTGATTATAACCGTGATGTATGAGGTCATTAATATAATCGAATGAACGGTGCACAAGGTTTAAACACGATTAATTTTCATGAAAATTGTACATGCTGTACATGTTGACCGTTTACATCCGGTCTCGTCGCGAATTTGATCAACTTATTAATGCATGGAATTCCCCGTAACCCTTCACTGAAACAATCGCGTGTTTTGAGAGTTAGATAGAACAATGAGATATTATCTTTAAAATAAACTTGCATATTTCCATGTTGTGCAGAAAGGCGTTCACTTATTTATGTATCGTGGAGGAAACTCGATATGAATTGTGCGATACATAGCATACGTATGTTCGGTTCAAAAGTTTACATGTACCATTTATTTAACGATTGGAACCTAGACATGTGTGGATATAGGGATCTAGGGGTTTTGAGATATCGGGGTAATAGGGTTCAGGGATATTGAGATACGGGCACATAAGAATCTGGGGACACCGAAATCTAGAGATATTTCGATCTGGTGACATTAGAGTTTAGGGTCATTTGAATTTGGGGATACTAGGTTCTAATAGTATTAGTGCAGAGGCATTGGGGTCCAGCGATATTCGGATCTAGGGGTATTGGTTTTATGGATATTAGGGTACGGGACATATGAATCCTCGGCAATTGAACTGTAGAGATCTAAGGGCATAGAAATTAAAAAACGAAATTTCAGTTGTCAAAATTAGGCCGTATATACTATGATTAGTATTGGAACCATAGAGATTATATCTTTCGCTGGAATATTGCATCGATACTATCGAAAATGTAGATATCAAAGGGTATCGATGTCTGTTCGATACTTCCTTTTGACCTTGGTGTTGTATTGTTCCAGTTTGGCACTGTATCGATCGAATAGCTAGATACTATCGATATATCGTTTACATCAGTATGGCAGTAACACTTCCAATTCATACATCATAAAAAGATTGTTAATATTTGAAAATATTATTGTCGCTTATTAGGGTACGGAACATATGAATCCTCTGCGCTGTAGAGATCTAAAAAGTCTGTATCTATGAATCAGACCTCGAAGTGGAAATTTAAGGATATCTTGACAGAGCTTTCATCTAGCATCTTTCATTAAAAGAAGGAATATTTATCGGATGTTCACGTTGAAAGATGATAATTTATTTATGTTTTTGGAGGAGGGTAGGCGATATCGGGCGTGATAAGGATGAACTCGCGACCGTGGGTAAGACGGAGATGACCACTAGATCCGTGCCTCGTCCTGAAGACGAAGACGAGGAGGACGAGGAAGAAGAGGAAGAAGAAGAGGAGGAGGAGGAGGAGGAAGTCGACAAGGAGGCTCGTTCGAGTCTACGATATCACTGCCACTGATATCCGCTCTCTCGTCGCATCGATGCCGATTCCTGCGTCCATCGATAGAGGTAAATCTTTCAATTAACACCTTCAATGGACGTCATCGGTAAACCATGAATTAACTAGCTGCATTGCCATCTTACTCGGGTGTAAGCTTCCTTTGATTAATTGCAAGTACCTGTCGCCATAGTCCGCAGGTAGAATATTTAGATAAACTGAGATGCATCCCTCTGCATTTGTAAAATATTACTCTCAGTTTCCAAAAATTTAAAAGGAAACATGTATGAAAGAGAAGCAATGGGAAATTTCCAAACACGAGCCAGACTATGGGGAAGGATAATAAATAAAAGTATTTTTTTTCGCGCGATAAAATCGGTCAAGTGAATCTTGACCTAATCGAATTGTTTACGCCGTGGACCTTGATGCTCGCCAGATCACCAAAGAAATTTCGGAAACGCTGCAGAATATACTGCCGTTACGAAACCTTGTTTTCTTATAACAGTGCTCTGTTTTTTGCGCTGTATTTATGGCGAGCGATAATTTTCCATGGAAAAATCTGTCGAAACATTTTCAGCATTGCTTAGTCTTCAGGTACACAAACCATTAATTTTTTCAGTAGTTTTAAAATAGGTATCAATATTAATTTCATATACTGATATATGATAATTACATGCACTGATATTAATATCAGCTCTACTCCAAATATCGTAATTACTAATCCCAATATCAATAGTAATACAACAATAAATACCCCAGGATTAAAATTATATTTGTAAATTCTCCCCAAAATATTTGCAAAGGTGAAAAGCTTAAGCAACATAAAATATTATTATTTACGTCTGGAGCTCGATCGGAAAATTTCGCAAATTTTGCCTTCGAGAAATGATTGAAAGGTCCAAAACACGTAGACATTTTGGTAGGACATGAAAGGTGGTAAAATATTGAAACAGACCACGTGACGTAGAAGATATCCAAGGGGAAATATCCCTTTAGAAAGACGGTAATCTGTAATGCCAATGTTACAAGGTTACGTGTAGAATCCATGAGAGGAATAAGAGCTGAAATTCAACGGGACGAATTTAGACTGCGGCCTTCGGGTCGGATTCATCTCAATGTATCGTAGAAGTTCGATTAGCCGAACGTTCGATTCTTCGAAGCATTATTTTAATCGCGTAGTCAGGTAAAATAGCAACAACTATCGGGCCACGAATTTAACGCTAAAACCAACACCGTCTGCTATTATCTCGTCTGTCAGTTCGATGGATATTTCGAGTAGCGTATGTTTCGAGATGAAATTTAAACTCTGTCGATACTCGAACACGCGTTATCGAATTAATAGTGCCGTTACGACGAACGAAATTTATCGGCGAATGAATTTTATTGGATAGAGGAGATTAAAAAAGAAGAGAAAGAAAAAGAAAATGTGCAGGCCGTGGTAGGACAAAGGTCAAGCCTAATATAGGTCGACCTATGGACAGACCCCTTTTTACGGAAGAATTTCAATGCTTCCTGCATTTTTTCTTACTCGCGAGATACCGAAAAACCGAGGCTTAAAAGTAGCTCAAGGTTCGTGTTAAGACTGCAGTGCCATACTTATAGCTAAACGGTTTATGCAAAAAACGAATTATTTTGACTTCTTGCGGGACCGAAACTTGCCCGTACTAGTTTTAAAAGATTCTGTCGAGAATAATGGTCCGGCCGAACTTGCTCGGCGAACAAAAAGAAAGTATTTCGGTACCTACTTCGTAGATAATACAAAATTTACACCGACGAGCGCTCGCTTTACTAGGAGAAATATCAATTTTCGGAAACGACGGTTTCTCCGCTATTATTAGAAATTTCGACATTATAGAATTAACCGAGTAGAAAATTTGAAAATTTAAATAGGGGATTTGAGAATTTGCGAAGTGGGAAATTTAGGAATTTGGAAATTTTGAGAATTTTGGGAATTTGAAGAATTTAGGGAATTTGGGGGATCTGGGAGATTTAGGGAATTTTGAGAATTTTGGGAATTTGAGGAATTTGGGAAATTTAGAGAATTTGGGGAATTTGGGGAAATTAGGGAATTTAGGGAATTTAGAGAGTTTTGGAATTTAGGGAATTTGGGGAATTTGAGGAATTTAGTGAATTTTGGGAATTTGGGGAATTTAGGGAACTTAGAGAATTTGGGGAATTTAGAGAGTTTTGGGAATTTGGAGAATTTGAAGAATTTGAGGAATTTAGTGAATTTTGGGAATTTGTGGAATTTAGGGAACTTAGAGAATTTGGGGAATTTAGAGAGTTTTGGGAATTTGTGGAATTTGGAGAATTTGAAGAATTTGAAGAATTTGAGGAATTTTGGGAATTTGTGGAATTTAGGGAACTTAGAGAATTTGGGGAATTTAGAGAATTTGGAAGGTTTGAGAGTTTGGAAATTTAGAAATTCAGGGAGTTTGGGAATTTGGGGAATTTAGGGAATTTGGGAAGTTTGAAAGTTTGGAAATATAGGAATTTGGGGAATTTTAGAATCCGTAAAGTTTGAGAACTTACAAAATTTTTGAATTTGGAAAATTTAATAAATCAGAGTTGACAATTCAAAAATTGCATAATTTAAAAAATGCAACAATTTAGAAATTTTTACGTATTTGAATCTACATGAAAATGTTAACATAACGACCTAACCTAACCATCTTACCATTCTAAATGTCATCGTTTTCCGTATCGATATTCTTCGCAGTGTATCGAAAGTCTTACACGAATCCTTTTCGTCCTTTCAATCTTTTTATCAACGAAATGCGCAAAAGCGATTAATCAAATTTCACGAAACATCAGATGCGTCGAAATTTGAATTTAATTCGGGACCGTCGAGACAATGAAACGAAATCGATAACGAGGCGGTGGATTTAAATAATGAACGATGTTAATTAGAATTACTGACCTATCGATGAATCGAATTTAGCTCACCGACGAACGCGACTGATTGCAGCTGATTATTTTGATGACCCCCGGTGCACAATGGTCCTCGTAACAAGCAAATGAACACGTTTTTTAATGGGTCAAGTGTGAACTACTAATTACACCAGTTTTCATCCCTCAAATGAAACGTGTTTCTTTGTTTAGATATATTCGTGTAATGTATCGTCAAATTTCTTTCTTTTTCTTGGACTAAATAATTAAAAAAAAAGAATAGAATTCTCCTTTTCAATTTTAAAAGGATTTTCAATTTTATTTGATTATTTTCATATTTTACTGTTACATCTCTTCATTGTATAACTTTGCTACCATTTTACTGTTTTCACTGTTTTATTTATGTAATCATTTTTTTCCTTTTTCCTTCGAAAAAATTGCATAATTTGTGGATTGAAATTAGAGACTTTGCATATTTGATCCTCGAACTAACATCTCTCATTGAATACACTTTATCCAACGATCACATGATTCATACAATAAAACTGATTTAGGACAACGATACCGTTCAAGTACAATTTATACATAAATAGACTAAGAAGAAAAAAATGGATTAAGAAGGAACATAAAGGATGCTCAGGTTCGTGCGCTTTCTAAATCGCAGTCTCAGCCGTTTAGCACGGGAGAAGAGCTTCAAAGCAGATGGTTAATTTCGATAAGACGGTGGTGAGCTTATTATCGAGTGGGTGGAGAACGGAAGGTGGCCGATGTAAGCACGTATCGTAGCTTTTGTGGTTGGCAGAATGGATTCCATAATGAGATGCCGTGTAAACTGGGACATCTAATTATACTCGAGTGCACACCACTCCAGAAACGTTCGGTCGTCCCTGGAGCTCGAGCCTGGCTCCTGTCGAAACGATAACGAATATTCAAGGATCACCCTACAACGGCCCTCTACGATCATTCATCGTAATTTATTGGTTTCTTTGATTCCAACCTCTCTGGATTTCGAAAGTCATAAGTTTCGTTTGAATCTTTTTGGAAACTTCTTAGAATCTTTTTCTCCGAGCTCAGAGTTGGTCATTTGCACTCATGTGCTACAACTTGCAAATTCAACTGCATTAGCAATAATGTTTGTATCAAAATAAAATTTCACATTAATCGTCTTGAGATGAATTAAAACTTGCTGCTGATTGTATCAAGATGAAAATGGTGACATTTTAAGGGGATCAAAAATACATGGATGAAGAATGTTAGCAATGTCAGCAGTCTGCAATGTTAAGTTGATCAGTTTAAAGTTAGCTCGAGTTGAATCTCATTATCGGTTCAATTCAATCATGTTTACCATCTTAATTTATACAAAAAATAAAGTTAGCGTCCATGTAACCTTTCAACAGTAGATTTTACATTGAAAATCTGTGCAAGATGAAATGAGTCGTGAACAGAGATCCTTTGATCGAATAAGGGTTGACAAAGACCGTACAAAATCATGAAAACGATGAGATATTCTTCATTACGAATACCTCGAAGAACCAGTGACCCGACTAGCCATTGTTCTTCAATTGTGGAAGATTGAAAACGTTCCTAAAATATCAGTTATTGAACATTCGAAATATAAAAGGGAAGAGGGATGGTGGGGGCAGAGGGACGAAAGGGAAAGAGAGGAGGTGAGCGATAGCGAGAAGGATGCAATCACCAGAAGAACAATCAGCCCTAAGTATGAGCTTTTCAAGTACCATCGGTATATCTCTCTCAACCATAACGACTCCTATTTTCTTCCGTCTCTTATTCGCTCGTAACTTTCCACCGTTTTATACTAATTCACGATCGCAGCGTTTCAACGAATTCCTTTCATACGGAAACCACATTGTTTAGGACACTTTTATGTGAACCACAAAAGAACGGCACGATTTCATTTTCTCGATAACGCGGCGACAATTTTGTTCGGGAAATTCGTTCATTCATCGGTCATTAGACTGGACGGTTATTAATTTCGAGCTTTACGTTTAAATCGACACTTTTAATGCATTACGTCGAACGATTATTTAGTCATTTTTTTTTATCGAATTCTAGTTTGAAATTTATTACTGTTTGGTAAATTGCAAAATGGTATGGAAATGAGGGGTTGAGGAATTTGGAAATTGGGGGATTTTTGGTGATATGGAAATTTAGGGATTTTTTGACGATTTGGTAATTTCGGGATTCTCTGGTAATTTGGAAATTTAGGGATTTTCTGACGATTTGAGAGTTTTGGGATTTTTAGAATTTTTGGAAATTTTGGGATTTTGTGGTAATTTGGAAATTTAAGGATTTTATGACGACTTGGGAGTTTTGGGGTTTTTAGAATTTTTAGAAATTTAGGGATTTCATAACAATTTGGTAATTTAGGGATTTTCTGGTAATTTAGAAATTCAGGGATTTTATGACGATTTGGTAATTTAGGGATTTTCTGGTAATTTGGAAATTTAGGGATTTTCTGAGAATTTGGGAATTTAGGGATTGTCTGACGGTTTGGTAATTTAGGGATTTTCTGACGATTTGGTAATTTCGGGATTTTCTGGTAATTTGGAAATTTAGGGATTTTTTGACGATTTGGTAATTTCGGGATTCTCTGGTAATTTAGAAATTTAGGGATTTTATGACGATTTGAAAATTTAGTGATTTTTAAAATTTTTGGAGATTTAGAAGATTTGAAAAATTATAGAATTTGGGAAATTTAGAGAATTTGGAGATTAGAAATTTTTGGGATCAGGAGATTTAGAAAGAGACATTGGCAGTTGGTATGTTGGTGAAATATTTGCAATCTTAAAAAATTGATAAACCAAAAGATTTTCAGAACATAATTCTTCAAAACTACTCCAGCAATTCAAGAATCCTGACAATTATAGAATGAAAACTGAAAATTTCCAAACTACAATACCGCTCACGTGCTGTTATATCACGTTTCACTTTCCATTTCCCACCTAATATACCCACCGTACCCCTAAAAAATATTCGAATCCGTATTTGAAGATACTTAAAAGTTAATGACAAAATGTCGACTTGGACGTTGTTCCCTTCGAAATGTAACATAGTATATAATGTCGAAATAGTGAGAAGAAAAGGCAGAAGCAACAGTGAGCCGGCCGTGAGCTTTGACCCGGTGACCCGTAGTGCGTGGGCTGGGAAGAGGGCATGGAGCAACGGGCAAAGAGGGAGTTGGGCAAGAGGAGGGCAGAGGGAGGGGTTCTTTCTCCTCTCGCAGCCTGGAATCGATACCTGGTTCCCCTGCCAGCTCAACCACCCCGACAACTTCTACCCTCTCTACACCAAGCTGAAATACCTTCGACCGTTTACCTGCCCCATATCGATTCCCATCCTACACGACCCCTTTTTCTCTCTCGCCAAAGACCTTTTTTTTATCTTAATTGATTTACAAATTGTCTCGCCCTTCGAGGCGTCGACTTGATCCCTGTTTTATTTCCTAAATTGAGTCACCATCTTGTCCTTAATTTACGACGCGTGGGCGTTCAGACTTTATCGATGATCATTTTTTCATAAGCTTTAACTTTCGACCGTCTGCTCTTTTAAGTTTGAACTCATTTCTGGGTGAATGTATCAAAGGGTAATTTGATTCAGGTGTTCGTAATTTATCTTTGACTTCTTGCTAAGCGGAAATGTTTAATACGCTCCTTTGTGTCATTTATTTCATTACGTCCCTTCAAATTATTTTCATTTTCTAAAATGTCCAATTTTCGTATACGCTGATTTTGATGAATTTTCATGAAACAATGAATGTAGAAATTTTTACAAAATAGTTTGAATAAAAAAGTACGTGAAAACTTTCTATAATAAAATAAATAATCTAACCATTTTACTGAATATGTTACAATGTTGAATTCTGTAAAATATGATAAAGTTTACAGGTGAGTAAAATCCCTATCTGATATTCAGCTTTAAGTATGACGTATAAAAAGAAAGTGCGGCCAACGAATTTCAAGATAATGACGCAGGAGGTTAAAGTAGAAGTAATTGCATTTATAATAGGGACTTTGTTCACCGAATCGTTATTAAAGGTGAATATCGTAATCAATCATGTAATTGAGAAATTTCAAGGAGGTTTCACCTCATGTGATAACGAAAGCCTACACATAGTATATACATAGGCATCGATTTTATAATAAAAGGAATTGCAACGCATTTAACGGGAAACGAGTTTGAATGCTCTTAAAACAAAAGAAAGAGTCTAACAGAAAAGCGACTGAAGAGATTTCCTCTCGTTACTGAAATTCAGCATTGCTATTTACTCTTTTGATGACTGGGACTTGCGTTTGATGGATACAAAAGAATTCCTGACGAACAGACAACGATTGAACGCTCTATTTTAATCAATTTTCTCCTCGATTTTTATTCAATTCCTTTAGCATCTTAATAACGCCAATCACTTTTATCAAAGTGAAATTTTTATCAAAGTACTTTATTATTTCGTTCATTGTCCTTTTATTAAAGTACTTTAAAGAGCTGCGAATTTTCACTATTTTCGATGTTACGAATTTTTCGAACAGAATTCATATAATAAAATTATATATTTTTAAGTTTTTAGTAGGTAGATTATATATATTTTTGATGTTATGAATTTTACAAGATATAGGAGATCATATAATAGGGCAGTGATATAGCGAAGTCGTAAAATTCTTCAGAAATCAAAATGAGGACACGGGGACATGAAACTTTGACCAGGCGCGTAGGAAGAAAAATTTCATGGGGTGTATCCCCTATTTGCTCCATAAACAGACCCCCGAAATATACATTGAAAATTAAATCGATCTTCCATAATTCTTTTGAATTAATGACGTTATGTCACTCTTTTATGCGGACTCGTTTATCTTATCATAATAGGGTTACCACGTATGAAATTTTCATGACAGTATAAATTATATTGAATAGAATATTTCTAATTATACACTTCTTATTTCTTATGCAATATTAATATGCAAAACTTCGTTATCAGTTGAAAGAGTGAAATGTAACAGTAAGGAGGTTCATCCCGAACGCGCGGGAAATTCAAATGGTAGACGATTAAGACAGTGACGCTTTCCTTTGTATGAGTTGGAATTCTATTTAAATGGTAATTTCTCGTGAACCTCTTACTTGTAACACATTATTTTGTATAATTCAAAGTTTTTATCACAAAGTCCTAAAATTTAAAGTCCCAAAATTAAAATATTAAGAAATTTTGAAATTTAAAAGATGATTGTACAAAATCCTTAAAAATATATTTTAATATAACCTAACCCAAAATCGGTGAATTCCCTAGTGAACAGTCTATATATTATAATAAATATATCAGTAAAAGTATGATGTACAAGTTAAGTAGAAAAATGAATATTAAATATAACGAATATAACAGTGATAATCGATGTATCGAATATTTCTTTTCGCCCGTACCGTTTACGTGATGATATTAGATAAAACTGGTTGTTGTTGAAACTATCAGCAAATACCTTTAAAGCTCTCGGAGGATTTGGTAAGGCAGAATCCTTCAGGGTTACCGCACACCAGCCACAGGTTGTCGTCCTCGTTCGCTTAAATCGACCTATTAACCCCCTTATTCAGTGCTTCCTAAGCGAAATCTCGGAATTTCGACCGAGTTCACTGGGAATTCCGTTTCGTTGAACATCTAAAGAACCTGTCTATTCATTCTTTCCCTCTCTTTCAATCGTTTGAATTTTCCAGCTCTTCAAATTGCAATCTTCCTGAAATTTTTGCCTATTTGATCATTCGACTCCTTCTCTTCTGCTTTAATTATTGATTTCTTCATTTAATTAATCATTCCGTTAATCGTGAATACGAATTTTTTTCATTTCTGCTTCGATTTTTATATTCTCCAGAAAATTTATTAATAAACGCAGCTTTACATTCGAAAATTTCTAAATTTTAACATTTTTGCATTTCGATAAAAATTTGAAAATCCTGAAAATTGTGAAAAGAATTATAAGTGAGAATCATAACGATATAGTACTGAATAATTTTTGGTTTAATCTCTGTATAAGGTGTTTCATTTTTGTGACGACTGGTTGCTATGGGATGCGCTGTTATTTGGTTCAATCAGAATCAGTCTTATGTTGAAAATGTAAGGTAGGTCAAATAGGCTTCTGTGCAGAATGGTGAAGTGTTATCAGTGACGGGTTTTATCGAGACGTCGTAAGACAGGCTACATCGATTCTCTAGGTTGAAATCAATATCCAGAACCTACAACCTATGAGTATAATGCTGGTGCAGCTGGGCTGTACCAAAATATTTGCTGGACCATTTCACGCTTTAACTAATTTTTAAACACGGAAATTTCTTTTTACCAAATTTTTAGTTATCCAATTCCCTAATTAATGTATCGATTTCAAATTAAAATTTACTTCAGCTCCTTTACACCAATAATTTATATAAATTTGCATCAAAAGTCAACCATCGATGCACTTTATGTCTCCAACTATAAATAATTTTATACTTAAAAATGTACTTAATTTTGTCTTAAAAATACATCCACTAAAAAATAAATTTCACTAACAAAAGTATAAATACATACATATTTTTATACATGTGTATTTTTAAAAAATTTGGAAGAACTTCTAAGAGTTTCATTGAACATATTTTTACGAGAAATGTATTTTCAAATCCGTGGAAACTTCAAACAACCAACAATTTGATCAGCAAGTTCTCGACTCGAGAACTTCGATAAAAATAAAGTTTTCTTCAAATGAATATCTATTTTATTTCCGATTACTGTCTAGTTTTTTCACTTAAAGTTTATTTCCCAAAGTGTTCTCCATTCTCGCGGTAGCGAGTCTCGATTGAGTGGTTCTTTGTAGGACACCCCTTGAAAGTTCCACGCTATTGATTATGACTGGAATTCGATAGCCATTCTACGACTTTTTGAATCTCTACCACGTGGACCCAATTATTTTTCTCCGCTTCAATAATAAGATTCTTCAAATTCGCATCAATCATTCTCTTTTTTATTTCAACATGGAGGACTTATATTTTTGATATATTGATAAACTTCTTTTTTCGTTCTTTATATTGGTTAATTCAGATTTGGAAATTTGAGAATTCTATAATATAGAAATTTGGAAGTTTGTGGATTATGATTGGATAATTAAAAAATTTCTAATATGAAATGTACAGGGAGTCTCATAATTAGTATAGGTCCTTGAAGTGGGGGGTAGCTGACGTGATTCTGAATAAAATTTCCCTTTACAAAAATGCGGTGTGAAGCTTCCTTTTTGAATTATTAAGGAAAAACACGGACCAATCAGAGCGCGAGGATTATGCGCGCAGACGCGAACGCGACTGCTTTGAACCTAGCAGCTGTGTGCGCATGCGCGAGAGCTACAGCTTCGAGCCTAGTAGCCGTGTGCGCATGCGCGAGAGCGACAGTTCGAGTCTGGCGGCTGAACGCGCGCAATCCTCATGTTCTAATTGGTCCGTGTTTTTCTTTAATAATTCAAAAACTATACATATAACCCTCACCCATATAATACAGAACTCCTTCTTTCCTAAATCTTATTATATGTATAGTATTATAATTTACAATTGAAAATGACAAGGTATATATTTTTTTAGGTATGGGGAGTGTCGTGGGCAGTAACGTAAACGTAAGCAACGGAACGACGAGGAGGATGGACTCGACGACGTTCCTGCCAGAAGCGACGCCGACCCTCAGCGAACGAGAACAACTCAAAATTGAATTTTACAAAACCTATGATGTTATGACCGGAGTCAGAATTGCAGCGACTCTCGGTGGTTTTTTCGGTCTTATGATTCTTCTGCTTGTCTATAAAAGCAGGCAAGTTTCTAGAAGGCAGATATGCACAATACATTATTAACAAATTAACCAAACTGCATCATAAATAAAATAGAACATTTTATTTACATTTCTATGTGAATTCCAATATATTGAAAATTATTAATATTCCAATATGTTGAAAAGGAGTTATTAATATTTCAATATATTGAGAATTATTAATATTGCAATTGTTAAAAGAATGCCAATATCTTTGATAAAACTAATGCACTTGTTGGTAAATAACAACATCATGTTATATAGATAACAAACATGAAAGAAACTGCTGAATGTACATAAAAAGAGTATAAATAAAGGAAAAGGGTAAAACGAGGGTATATGTGGTATAGGTGTAAATCGAGCAAGCAGTTGGAAGATCCAAGACTGACCGCAGCAGCGGCCGCAGCGGTAGCTGAAGCAGAAGCTGAGGAAAGAGCTCTCGCAGCCGCCCTCGAAGCCATTACTAGATTACCACCTAGACCAGACAGGGGTCCCAGAAGGTCTCTTTGTGTTGAGGTCAGTCTCTTTGTGAAAAAGATAAAACCAGTTTATCCTTTTTTGCACTCCATTGATTATTATTTTGTACGTCCAATTTACCAATGAAACAAAGTTATTGTTAAGGGGATTCCATTTTCTTTGTTCAAGCAGACCCTTCTATGAAATTGTACTAAATATTCTAAAATGAAAAACGTTAGATTTATTTCTATACTTTTACGCTTTTCATACCAAAAATAAATAAAAATTGAAGTTTGTAAACTTGTAAAGTTTCATATTTTCACTTTAAGGAATTTGGAATACCCTATACATAAAATATAGCATAAAATGTATAATTAAAGTTAAATTGGTACCCAAGTTACACAAATTAGAGTAAGCAGCTGGAACCACCTCGATAATTCTGCAAATATTGATTTTAGCAAGTTGGTTCCAGACAGATATTACATTATATACGTACACCTGCAGTTTAGAGATTCTAAAACTTTGAAATTATCTGGAATGTCAACTAATTTCGTGCACATTTTTATTGAAGGTGACTCAATCTCATTCTCCAAGAATCGGCCCGCGTTTCGCATCAGTCGGAGGTGGTTACGAGGCTCTATTAACAGCGCCAACGAAGCAACCAAATTTGGCACCTCCGGAAGAACAGAGAAGATGCAGTTCCGTGACTTGTAGCAGTACTGGAAGTAGTTATCTCGAGAGGAGAGGGTCTGCGATGCCCGTACCATGTCTGCCGCTTCATCCTGCGTTTTCGACGAAACACTCTGCCCACGACGAACCCTGGGACCTTTATTATCCAATTGATATTCAAGTAAGAAGCTTACCTATCACATTTGTGAAATGTAAACAATATAGTATACAATGTAAATAACATCATCAAGTCCTAAGGAAATCTCAGACTATCAATGTTTATTGTCAATATTTCAATGTTCTCTACATTCATTGATAATACAAAAATGTTGAGAACTCTGACAATATACAATATATTAATTGTCTGAAGTTTCAGTAGTATTGTTAGATGATTATATTATCAATTAATCTATATTGTAACTCTTTGATAGGTAATCCAGCCAACCCCTGAGCTTTCTCCATGCACAAGTGAAGCAGGTCTTTATGCAAATGAATTGATGATCACAGGAACTGCTGGTAAAAGAGCACCATTGGCTTCCATGGGCAGCGTAGATCCTCCTGAACCAGATTCAAGGTGATTAATAATAAACACAATAAATTAGTTTAACCTTTGTCTGAACCCAATGGAAACACAAGGGTTAATAGATCCTCTAAATAGTCTAATTAATAATTTATAATATTTACATAATTCATGTGTAAATTTACAGCTTTGATCATTCAAAATCACTGGGTTCTGACTCAGTCTTCCTGAGAACCGATGAGCAGGAAGAGTGTCTAGATACAGAGGATGAGGTGTCTGGTTTCTCAACCGATTCTGAAACACCTGGTCCCAGTTGTCGACGATTTCTTCGTGTACCTTCCAAGAAAAAGAAGATTGTTGAGAAATGGGATGGTTGTGCTGGATGTGTTCCTAGACGACGGCCTGGAGGAAAACCATGCCAAACTTGCCACAGCATCAGCGCAGCTGTTGAAACTTCAGGGTACAGCATTTTATAAATTTTTCCTAATTGACATGTAATACAAAGGGATAGAGAAATTATCTGTCGCAGAAATGGAAGTGTATTTGGAGTCTAATAATAAACCTTAAAGCTTTGAACTCATCTTTTAAGTCCAGTGTTACAATCTTTCTTTGAAAGGCAAATCAATGATACTGATCTTCATAATATATACTTCATTTGTTCAATCTTCTTCTAAATTTGATTTCATAGACAATTTCCTACATTTATTATTAGTTTAATTATGTCAAAGAAATGGCACCGACATCGTTAATATCCTATAAAGTTAATACAGCCTTAAAGTTTATATTATGTTTCAACATCCACTTTATTGTCAAATTACATTCACATTTTATGATTATAAAAGCAATTGATGTTAATAGAAATTTATTGGTCTATTAACAGATCTCAGGCAGCATCTACGAGCTCTAGCAGCCAGAGTAGCCTCGGTTCTCCACCGTGTTCACCGGCCATCGAGCTCAGACATAGACCACCACCAGCGCCATTACCGTCGAATCCACCTGTCTGGTCGCAAGAAACATTGTTTTAATCCTTTGAAGACTTATTGGGAAAAGGATGTCATGAATAGCTGGCAATCGCACAAAAGTATCTCCTCTAAGGAAAAGGAACGAAGATTGACTTTTATAATGGTCCATGATATCGGTTTAACTAGAAAAGAAACAATAAATAAAGAATGGAGAAGTAAAGATGGAAGGAAAAATGAAAGACATGGGAATAAAAGAAAGGGAAGAGAAAAAATGGAAAACCCTACAGAATGTAAAAGAAAAAGAGAACCTTGAAGACAAAAAGATTGTTAAGCAATTTAAAAAATGGGAATGCGGGAGAATAATTGCAAAACTGTAATTAAATATAAAAAGTAATTGAAGAAATAATAAATACCGAAAATTTTATGAACAAATAAGTAGGTGAAGAGAAGTTCATGAAAAATTAGCCCCAACTTTTTGTTCTTTTTGTTTAAAGGAAAATAACATCGAGCAGGAAATAATAGTATCGTGTGTCAAGTTTCTAAAAGAGAACTGACAAGAACGAATGAAAGATAGTTAACCATAAAAGTGGAATAACCAAAGGAAATGCCAAAACATTTGTATAGTAGCTTTTAAGATACGAGCAAACAAAGAGAGAAACAGAAACTAACAGACTAATTAATCGTTAAACGAACTGTTGTAAAAAAAAGAAGAAAACGGTAGCGTGCCATAGATATATATTGTAAATAACAAATAAAATGGTAAAAGGAAAGAACTCGGTTCCTTTTTTTCGTACTCGAAAAAGAGTGAAAACGCGTCACGTTTATATCGCGTTAGACAGGAAAAAAAATCAAAACTTTTAAAAAAGATGTTGATCTAGTTGTGCGTGTATAAATAAAAAAACAAAAAACAAAGAAATGAAAAATACTTCTCGTTATTCGTTTTTTTGTTTTAAATATTGCATATGTATATATATATATGTACGTATAATACGCGCGATTAAAGATAAAAAACTAGATTAATCAAGTGAGGAACTTGAAGGAACAAAAATCTATGAAATTCGTCAATTTATTTTTTCCAAGTTGAAACGAATGGTTTTAGATCGAAGTAGTTGACGAATAATTTCAATAAAACAAGGAGTTTAATAACATATTTCGTTAGAATAATTTTTATATCAAGTTAAAATAAATTAAACCAAGATTATTTATATAGAACAGACATCACATAGTATTCAAAGTTTCGTTTCAGTTTTATGTTTTTTTTCATGTTTAATTACTTAATGACGCTTTGATGACTGCCAATTGAAAAGCAGAAATCCTCTATGTATGTGACTCGTGGTACATGTGTGTTGTGCACGCCTGCGTGCATATGTTGCGTGTGTGTATATGAGCGTACCTTTACGCACACGTGTATAGAAAACTAGAAAATCAAAGCCAAATATTAATAGTGTTGTCAATTTTTCCAATAATCGGGACACGTTTATAATCTCGTACTTCTCAGTTCTACATGTTTTACTTCAATTGTTGCATATTCTTAACTAATGTAGTATATTCTTTATTGATCAGAGTCTTCTTTTTATTGTTACTCTAAACTGATATAGTTACAATATTAATTTATTTATGTTGTTTGTTAATTGTTAAATGTGCGAACTAAGACGAAATTGTTATAAACGTGAACCCGATTAAACGTTTAATAATCACGTTACAACGCGAAACTTCTGTCGGTGCCTTTCCGCCGGATCTTCTTCCATCATTATGGTTTTAGATAGTATCATCTCATCAAGGAAAATCATAAATAAATCAAATGCTATGTCTGTATAGCGACAGAGAGTGGACAAAATAATGGAAACACTGAATATCTAGCATGTTATTTTTAAATGTTTTCTTCTGTCAAATATTTTATTTAATCCTCATCGAATTTTCTTAGCAATTGTTTGTTAAATGTATATGCTAATTTCATATTTTCGTTATAGTTTCATTTTTAACTTAAACTAACAGAATATAACAAAAAAGATTAGTGAATTGTTAAACATGTATTTACTTGTAACAAGTGTTTCCATTATGTTGCTCAATTACTGTATATTAATGACAATCATAATCAAAAGTTGTGATTATCCTTGTCACCGTAATTATAACACGAATGAAAAAAAGTAAAACGGCGAAAAAACGTGTAACGACTAGTAAAAAAATAACTGAGAGAATTATACCTCTAACGATAGGGTGAGAAACTACAAACTCAAAGCAATCGAAACTGTAAATTAGAGTAAAACGAACGAAAGAAAAATACTATGAAACGATAAGAGAAAAGGAATAGGTGATTATGATTATGATGACGGTCATGATCACGAAAAATGAAGCTCCACCATTCTTTCGTAATGTTTTGAACAAATCTTTCCTGATGTACGAACAATAAAACTTTCACTATTTCCTACTATTATTCTCTTTTATCGTGCCTTCCCTTAGGTTTTTTTCTAACCTAACACGTATGACATGTATTACAGTACATTTTATGTTACTATACAGATGATTAATTGTTAACTTGTTTACTTCTTATAAGAATAGTTATTCAAAAATTTCTTGCCTTTATTTATGGTGTTATTGATTGATTGCTAAATAAGTTAAACATCTGATTAGTTCGATTTTTGCGTGAAATGCACGCAATGGTAATCAACAATTCTTATCGGCTAAATGCGATAACCCTTAGTCGTGATAACACTGAAACTTTTGTTTAAATTAAAGTCAAATCAAATCAGTCTTTCGGTAACTTTGTTGACGAACATATCGAAGTGAACGACACAGCAAAAAACAAGTTAAACAAATTCAAAATATCCCGATTGCATTTTGACGAAATATTTTTTGTGATGTATTACATAGTACGTAGAAATTTAAGTAAAGATTAACAATGGATTTTGCAAAATTTTTAACGAGCGTCACAAATAGACGTAGGTCAGGCATGCTTCGTCAATTGGGTAAGAATCAACGTGTAACCTTATGAATTTTTTATTAACATCGTAATCTTTAATATTCAAAATTGCAAGTTATACAATTGTCTAACGTAAGAAATAAAAATATCTAAGAAAATTTAATAATAACTTTTCATACATTGTAGCCAAAAAGTTTCTGGAAACTGAGAATGGAATATCTCTGTCTAACGGAATGCCAAATACTGCGACGTTTCCTTTTGAAGAAATTGCAGTGACATATAAAGACGGCACCAAAGTCAGATTAGTAGGCGATGAGTTATCCTGGTCGCTTCAGTATGGTCCCTCCCAAGGGTAATCTTTAATAAAGAACTCAAAAATATTCCATTAAAGCTATTTGTAAACGATACGTAATACAAGTTTACTTTTTTTTATTTGTGCGATACTTTTATCTTTGCAGTTGTTTAATTACTTATTACAGTGTTATCGAAGTTCGATAAATCTGAATTTTTTTATTTGTTGTATTAAGATACCTACCGTTGCTGACAAAAATGCGAGAGTTCCAAGAATATTGGCATAAACCGATACAAAATAACTGGGACGTACTTTTCACGTCAGGATCCATGGAAGGATGTAGTAAGGTTTTCGAAATGACGTTGGAAGTTGGAGATCCTGTTATGGTTCAAGTGCCAACTTACGATGGAATTCTTAATGCGGTGAATTTTTATATTTAATTTTTTTTTAAAAAACAGTATGATTTCAAATTGAATGTCCCGCCCGATCAAATTTCGCGGCAAATAAAAAAAGTTGGACGGCGTCATCTAGCGGTGCACGTTACTAACTAAAAATAATGTAACAGGATAACAGAAAAGTCAAGGAGGACCTCTATTTTGGCTCCTAGAAATATTTTAACATCCTCACATAATACCTCTTCGCATTATGCTATCCTAGTATGAGGAGAATAGTTGTGAACTCCGATTGTTAGATGGTGCTATTAAAATTTTTCGTAATTCCCGCGTAATTCAACAAAATGCGAAATTTTATCATATGCTTATTAAATTCTGACTAAACCAAATTTTCTAAATTTCTTTTTCTTTCAGCTTCGACCATTTATGCCGGAATTTATTGGAATAACCCAAGATGAGAACGGAATACTACCAGCACATATAATGCAAATTTGCAAAGAAAGATCTCTGAGTGGAAAAAAAATGCCGAAGGTAAATCGTAGTATTTAATAGCACGTGCACATCAGAATTAATTTAGCGCCATTATTTTTGTAGGTTTTGTACGTGAATCCAACAGGAGCAAATCCGACTGGAACAGTTCTGACTGAATCCCGAAAGAAACAGATTGTCGAATTAGCTCAAACGTATAACTTTTTGATCCTCGAAGATGATCCTTACTATTTCCTTCATTTTCTTGATAAGTCACCTCCATCATTTTTTGAGCTGGATAATTGTGGACGTGTAATACGTTTAGACTCTTTTAGTAAAATTCTCAGTGCCGGTTTGCGATTAGGTGTTGTTACAGCACATAAAGAATTCATTAAAAAATTAACCATGCATATGGAAACAACTAGTATACATCCCTCGTCTCTATCACAGGTTTTTGAATAACTTTCTGATTCAACTAACATTCTATCTTTTCTTGCTCCTTTATTATTTTATTAATTATTTACAGATGCTGTTGTATAAATTGTTAGACTCATGGGGCATGCAAAAGCTACAGCTTCATTTGAACGATATTCAAAAATTTTATCATGAAAGACGCGATATTATGTTAAATTTAATTGAGAAACATCTAACAGGTATTTTGTTTAATGAATGAAGATATAAAAATGAAATATGTTCTATAATTAATTTTATAACTTTATAGGGTTAGTTGAATGGTACGTTCCAAATGCTGGAATGTTTTGTTGGGTAAAAGTTAATGGACTTGAAAATGTGTCGGATTTGGCGATGAAGAAATGTATTAACGAAGGAATATTTCTTGTTCCTGGTCACGCATGTAATTATGATACCTTGAAACCAGATCAACATCTCAGACTTTGTTACAGTTTCGCGACCCCCGAACAAATCGACAAGGTTAATTCCTTTTATTCTCTATTTTATTTTTTTATTGATTTCAAATTTAATACTCAAAATAAATATATATAATTTGTATTTCTTTCTGGTATTTCTAGGCGCTGTCGATTCTAGCAAAATTAATACGTGAAGAAACAGCGAAAAATAAACAGAAGTAATAGGTTTGTGACGTACCTACTGTAATCAAACGCGCAATAAATAAATTTGAAAATATAAAAGATTGTAACAAAAATATTTATAGCTTGTAAAAATATATTTTAAAAATTAATGTTATTTACGTTTCTACATAAATTATAATAAAGATAATATTTTACCTATAATAGCTACGCGTATTTATAATATTTATGTTTTCATACGCATTCATTGACCGTCGCGCGCGATATTTTAAAAACCTTGTCAATTCGAGATATGAAAGCTTTAAAATTCCCCAAGTTGCGTTTTTTAACGAAATATAAATTATATAATTAAAAATTAAAATATTAGATTTTATATAACTGATAGACACGATACATTTATTGATAAAGGCAAAAGAAGTCTCATATACAACGCAAACGTCTTTCTACCGTACAAGTTGAGTTTTGAAATATACAAGTCTAATTTACAGCGTAAAATCTACAATGTGTAACAGAGACTGGCATAAAAGTGTTATACAAGTGAAAGTTACACAAACTGTTATAAATATTCTAACAATGTGGAAGTGAAAATTAATTTTACTGAAAGTTTTTGTACAAACAGTCAACGAAAGAGGTTAAGTTTCGTTGTCGTTTACTGGAATAAGCAGTGTCAAATATTTCAAATTAAACACTTGAGGATAACTTGTATGAAATTATTACTTATCCACATATATATTCATTTAAATCGCTATTAATTTCAACTATTTATTTATAGAATCAGTATTAATTTATTGCAATAGTTTTTAAGAAGAAAATAGTGATCTCGTCATGGAAAGCACGAGCGATGTTCAAGAAAGTGAAAATGATAAAGTGGAACCAAACGTGGTATTGGAAACGGAGCAAGTTGAGGAAAGTGAAATTGAAACATTGAAAGGAGATTCTGTAGGTGATACTCTTTACAGTAGCAAATGGATAATAAATATCTTGCTTTCGATATCAAATGTAAGTTAATGGGCTAGTAACAGTTGTAGATCCATATAAAAAATTGTATCAATCAAGATAGATTAATTATTTTAAAGGTTTTTGAAGATGGCTGGAATACAAAATTAGAAAATGACTTGTGTACTTTATGGGATATGAGCACAGAGAGGGACATCGTTGAATTTCTTGTGGATAATGACTTTTTTAAAGTAGCTGAGTATACTTTAAATTCTTCTGAAGAACCAAGACTAACGGTACAACATGCTTTAAAATTCTTATTACAAGAAAAATAATATTTAATAAACATAATGTCTTTGTACAATTTATAGGAAATAATTTTGGGAATACTTGGAAACATGACTTGTGAACCAGTAGTGCTTGAATTACTAGGGGCACATGAGGAACTTCTTGAAACTATTCTTCGTCATCTTTCTTCTGAAGACAGTGCCACATTAGTACAAATTCTTCGACTTTTGCGTTCTGCACTTTGGAATATTCAGAATAATCCTGAATCAAAGTGGAGAGTTAATTTGAGAAATTCAACTTTTTTAAGAGAAGTAGTTCCTTTCATCTTAAAAAGTTCCACAAATGGTAATTATTCTTTGTAATTGTATACATTTTTATAATTAAATAAACTTAATTGATAATTAATTATGTTATAGAGGAACTTTTAATAGCAACAACAAGTTTTCTACGTTCTTCAGCAGAAATTGACCTTCCTACTGGTAAAACATTATTGGATGAATTGTTTGATTCATCTAGTTTTTTACCAGGTATGGAACTTTTGTCCTTTCATAAGTTTATTATTTGATTCTTATATATAAAATAAAACAACTGTTTTAATTTGGTTTTACTAAAATTTTGTAAAATGTGCAGGAATGTTAGAATCTTTTGAAGAAGTTCTTCCTCAAGATGAGGGACAGTATTCAGCTTCAACCTTAAAATATCTTGAAGATTGGTTAGAATTGTTCTCTAATCTTCGGAAAGGGCATCAAATTCACCAAACAATTTTACAAGAAGACAATCTTACTAGGATAGTAGAGATTCCACGAAGGATTTTAACGAGTTTCATTGATCCATGGAATCTTTATCCCCTAGACGAAACTAAGGCTTCCTGCATTCATAGGTGCGCGGAAATGATTCTTGATTTTCGATGGAAAGGATTTTTAACAGCAGATGCTACCAATGATATAGATAGTACAGTTTTAAAAATTATATTCAACATCAACACAGGTAAATCTTTTTAATGCAAAAATTAAAATACATAAATGTAATTTCAATTTTATTTCTTCTTGCATTATATACAATTTTTTGGACTCTTTCAGCAATAAAAGATGAAGAAGACTCTGAAGAAATAATGGATGAGTTATCAAAATATCTGGAAGGATATTGGATCGAAATATCAAAAATTTCTACAATCGATGAGATTATAAAAATTTTGAAAACAAATGAAAAAACTGTTAATGATCATGTAATAAATTTATTAAAATCTAAAATCCCAGCGGAAAAAATGATCGGTGTATTAGCTGGTTTATCGAACGAGTAGACAATATTTTAAATGAAATAAAAAGAGAATTGTAAAATCAATTAAATAAATGAATTTTTCGCATAGCCTGTGATAAAAAGAAGAGCAAATTTTAAGTCTTGTTTAAAATACGTTTCTTGATACTGTACAAATCTTAAAGTATTTTACAAAATTTGCTACATTTTATACAAGTTATACATTTATGTTTATTTCGCATATCTTTAAATTCTCTTTTTAATTAGAAAATTTAATATTTCCTTACAGGTTTATAAATAAGAGTACGCACTGTTCTACAATTTTATTGCAATAAAAATTTGAGTATTTCAAGTAGTACATTAACAATATACAGTTTATAGGTACAATTGGAAGAACAGTTCTTCCTTTCTCTATTTTTTCTCCTCTTTCGTTTTAGTATTTCTATACTTAATTATTATTTTGTTGCACATATAGTCTTTATTTTATTGTGCTTATAATTTACACGTATCTTCTTTATCCTCTTGCTTTCTTCTTCAAGGAAACAAACTCATGTTTGTTTCTCTTTTTTATTCGGTTATGTCTTCTTATCATTTGTTACATACGCATTTGATGATATCGTCTTAATTCTTTCTCCTGCTGAACATCCTGTTTACTTCATTTATACGTTAATTTCTTCTTTTGTTAGTTTCCACTTTTAATCCCATTCTCCAATATACATTGCTCTAGGTGCAGGAGGAGGAATTACGCCTCTCGTCGGTACGGGAAATCTTCCATATATGTGATTATATGGTGATTCGTTTCTGCTATCGGAGTCTATAACAAAAAGAAATTTCGTTTCATTTAAATAATAACATGCTACAAATTATCAATACCTTATCATTATATCACAGGTTAAAACCTATTCTTTAACAATCCCTGCTCAAAATAATTAATGATATATATACAACATTAGCTTAAATTTTTATTAGAATGTAGTACCAAGTCCACTTTCAAAACTTCGTGCATGATACATAATAGGAGGTCGGTTTCCAGGTAAATGGCCATAAATTTGAGAGGATTGGCTACTTGCATATCCGCTGGCAGCGTATCCAGGTGCTTGAGGCGGTCTAACGTATCCTCTTGGCGGCACTTTGCTGTTTTTCGCCATTTTTACAAAGTTAGGAACACGAGCTCTTAATCCGCAATAATACGGATCATCTATGAAAGAAGAGTAAATTAAAGGAAATACTTTCTTGTATTATCCACTGTTTATATCAAAGTAATACCGTATTTCTTCTTGTCGTCATTCCTTCTTTTATCTTCGTTTGTTATAACAGGTTTCCTAGCATAATCGTCCTCTATGTCGTCGTAATCGGGCTGCAGTCAAATAGTTCATATTATACTTTAACCAATCTGATATGATTTAAAGGACAAATGTAATTAAATGATATAAATTACTTTAGGTATATCATGTCCATAGAGATTCTCTCTTGGTGGCAGTTTCGGTGGTCTCTCGGCTCTTCTTGGTCTACAACTAGTCGACTGAGCGTAAATCTGTTCTCTGGCTTCTCGATCCTGAGGAAATTGTTCAGACACTCCAATCGAAGACGAAACTCCAGCTACACTATACGGATCTTCGTCAGGAATCGGTATCCTAGGGCGATTCTTAATATCCACCGGCCTTTGTAACGCTAAAACTAGTTCATTTACAACTTATAGACAAACGTATACTCATAGAACATTAAACATTATACGCGCAACATATGGTATTATTGACGGATGAAATTTTTTCCGATTCAATGAACTGTAAATGCGTTGATGATTATTTTTAAGTTCACACCTGGTGGTAACTTGGACTTTAACATATCCAAACCAACAACATTTACAATGAGAACCCAAACAGGACATTGCAAAAGATCTGGTTCAGTTCGGACGAATACGATAGCGCTCAAACATTGCATTTCCAGCCTTCTTCTGTCAGGATATGCTCTTCGCGTTTCTCGTGACAGGTTCGTTTGAAATTTATTCATATCAAATACCTGATGTAAAGAACAAAGAAATAAATTGTAACGAAAGGGAATGTTTGCAAATTGTTACGAAAAGAGAAGAAAATAAAATCGTGCAAGTTAAAATGAAGTAAGTCACGAAACACTTACTTTCCCCGGTTTCTCGTGTTCTAACGCTCCTTGAGAATTCCGTGCAATTTCTGCTCCAATTGCGTTGTCTTCCTGACTGGTCGGTTTAATGTAAACGTTATTTTTACATAACCTCTTTATTAAGATATTTCCCTGTTCGTCCATTTTGATCTTTACACCTTGATTTATGTGCTTTTTGGCTTCCTCCGTTTTCGTGTCCCTCATCGGATTTTCGAAACCACATAACCCTATCCTATATTTTGTCAAGAATAATAAACAATTCATACCGTTTTAACCATCCTTGATTTATTATATAATTTCAATAATTGAAAATTAAAAGATGTTTTTTTTTTTTCGTTTTACCTAAAGCCATCGAAACCATCATTGGATCCGTTAATTGTGAGAACAGGTGCTCTTGCATATGCTTTTGCTACCCTTCGGTTTCTTTCGAAAACGATTACCTTGGCCCAAATTTCATCGTCTATTTGATTCCATTTGTCTAATACCTCTTGAATGTGGTCCTAAAATAAAAGCAAAAAACTTTAGTATATCACTGCAAATATTTTTGTATTATTCCAACATTATTAACATAAACTATACAGTGTGTGGCAATATATCGCGAGGCTATATAACGCGAGGTTATACAACTCGTGGCGATATAATGTATATCACTGCAAACATTTTTGTATTATTCCAATCTTGCTAAAATAAACTATACAATGTGCGGCAATATATCGTGAGGCTATATAACACGAGGTTATTCAACCCATGGTGATATAATGTGAGGTTACAAAATGAAAGATGATATAATGCGGTAGAACGGTTATTTAATGATTAGTAATATCTTAAGATAAAAGGCAAAGAATTCTATTAACTATGCAAGAGAAAATCGAAGATTCCTGTAAACCGCATGACTAATGTGATTTTCGCAAATTCTTCCTAAAATTGGAGATACCAATGATTAATACATTCTTGAATTTTAGTTTTTAATTAATTCGTACGTTAATTCGTACCTTGTAGAGTTTATCGAGATTGTACCATACATCCTCCTCGTCCTGATCTTCGTATTGAGATTCGACGAGATTGTCCCTCGATCGAGACAGGATCTTCCGTCTCGATACCATGGTTCACCGAAAGACTCTGTTCAACAAATAACCAATAATTATCATAAAATAATAGTATTTCTTAATTTGACCATAATGTTCATTCATAATTTCGCGCCATAAGAATTCATTTTACATAAAAATGTAAAATTATCCATTCCATAAAAACACTTCGTTCTAATAAAGTAGTATCGATGACTGAGTAAAATTGTAATAAAAGACTGATACATTCATACAGTCAAAAGTTGTTGCCATTACGTAACGATTACTATCTAGCAATAATTCAATTTTTAAGGTAATAGTCGACACTTTCACTGTGCTAAGTTTCTGCAATACCACGTAGCCCGATGACCAAGCAATCTTGTATCCGATTTGAAATTAAACGCAATAGCAAACGAAAACCGGTAACCTGAACTTCGACGACTATCTAACGATCAGTTGATTTTAAATTAGCGTTAAAAATTATTTACATAATTCAAGAATTATTTAATATCGTTAAAATTAATTTACAGTACTACACAAAGTACTTTAGAGCTGGATATTAAATAAATTAATCTCAGGGATATGATACCACAAAAATGTTCCATTACTGAATTTACCATGGATATTCTTCCAAGTACCAAATTCTCAAGATTCCAAAATCTTGCTTCAGAACTAAATTGCAAGTAATTTGCAAAAATAAATGAACGAAAATATTGAAAAGTTTATAAACGTATTATTGGCGAATATTCTGGCAAGTTGTATTCGTCAAAGTTCGAGGAAACAGAACTTAAACCGTGATTATAATTAGCCAGACAGTCGAAGTCTTTCACCTTCGAGGAACAGTACGCGAGGAACGGGAAAAGGTGGCCCAAGAGTGGTGGCCACGTTCTTAAAAATTTTCTAAACGTACTGCAACCGGTGAAGGGGGCAGTTGGTACGGGTCTGGCAGCACTCAGCCTTCGCATTCTTCGGAGAGAAGTGAAAGCCAAAGAGTTTCAGGGAAATTCTATGCGGAATCGAAACCCTTTTTCCATGGCGCCTGCCTTTGATACGTTTTTTAATTCGACTTCCTTTTTTAAAGTCACTCCACAGGATGTCCCATGCAACTGAGATAAACTTGAAAACAGACATAGAAAAAGTGATGATGCATTTCAGGAATTTCAAAATTGCATGGTCTCAACATTTTTTTACAAGTACTCTAAGAATTAAAGAATCTGGAGAAAGTACCAAAGACTAACCTAACCTAACCAAATTCAACAAGTGGTTTACATACATGTACAAGTGAAAAATATTATTTGGAATATCCATTTGGTCTAAAAAAGATTTGAGCGTCATATCGTTTATTATTCATCGGTGAAACGAAAAAGAAAAAATGAGCTAAATTGCTCCACGTACTTACTAGGCACGCTATTTTCGTACGGAACATTCCTACGCGCCTCATAGTGAGACGCAGGATATATGGAACATGACAAATATATTTTGTAAAAGTATTTATAAATTCCCATTGCGTTGCATGCGAGTATACGGCTTAAGCAGCCGTATATACCGACAAACGATGCAGCCGCACCATCTTAGAACGTTACGTGTCGAGTCGAGAGAGGTTTTCAACATTTTTAGAATGTATCGGTTGCCAGTGTCGGTTTTTCCGCGCTGCTTCGAGCAACGAATGCTCGTGCTGTAAAGGCGTGCGTGAATCGAATAAGAATGCGTGTTCCCTTAAGTTCGTACATGTCTCACGAGTCGAGTACGCAGTCACATATACACACATATATTATATACTGGGTGTCCCAAGAATTCTGCTTCGACCGGAAACTGTTTCCTTTTTTAACAAAATGAATCATATATATAGAACCACACTTTGAATATTTACATCGAGGAATATTTGAATCTAATACCTGGCGACATTTGGATCTAGGGATATTACTCTCAGGATATTTGGTGGTTAGGAATATTTGCGTCTGGTTATACTAGCGCCTATAATGGTCCAGGGATATTAGGATCTAAAACATTTGAACCTAGGGATATAGAAGTATACAAATGTCTATAACATTCTCACACGTGCTTCACTTTTATAGTGTAGATATGATACACCTCATTGACTTCACTCAATATATCAAAATTAAACGTTGTTAGTCCTTAGGGATTACATACTAAACCAATTCGCCTGAAAATTAGTATAAATGTAGTTCATATATTAGTTTGGAACTGGCTTACCTTTGTAACTTGTTACTTGTTAATTCATGATTATATTAATAAATTATGAGTACCGTTTTGTTAAGTATAAAGGGAATTCCATCTAACTCCACCATGCTTAATTATTATAGTTAGTTGCAAGGAAGGTAGGCTGTGAGGTGAAGGTCATGTCAGGGTCATAGTTTCCAAGTTTTCAGAGTGACCTTATTTTCTTCTGAATGGAACTTCATTATTTATATGTCGATTTCTTTTAAACATTCTGCATAGAAATGTTGATGATGAAACATAATTATAATATTAAGAATATTAATAGCTCTTTGTTTACGACAATTGTAAGTGAAGGGTTAATACCATATATTATTGGGACACCCTGTATATACCTCTGGCGACATCGCTTATTAACGCGTCGAAATCTCCCTTCTCGACCAACGTCCACTCTATGAAACGTCTATCTAAATAAAGATTATGTAAATACATGTTTTAATATTTTTTATATTATGTTTTTGGCAATATAATTATTTGAAAACTATTTATATTGTATTTAAAGTTTAGTAGTACTTCAAATATTTTGTAATTAAAACACTAAATATAATTATGAATTGTAAAAAATATAATTAACCTTCAGAAATAAAAATTAACCTTAAAGAATTTTAAGTTACTTTATACATTTTGAATATATTGTGTCGACAATTCTTTTGTTTAATCAATTTTATTAAATAAGTAATAAATAATTGCATAGAAATAAATATGCATAATGCAAATAAAAATGAAATTGATTTTTAAATTTAAACTGCAGACTAATTAAGTTATTAATTTGTATTATTCATTTTATCATTTGTATTATTTGCTATTTAAATATATTCATGTTTAAATAAATAATATTTTAATTATTAAATTCGTGCAGCTATTAGAATTATTATTGTTATTAGAAATATTATTAGTATTATTATTATGAAAATAACGCTCTGATATCCGCGTATCAAAGGTATAACTTTCACTTTTGTTAATGGCTGAATGCTCTAAAACATCTGAGCAAAAAATAACACTATTCGGTTGACCGATTAAAATATGTTATACTTTTTAGAAATTTATACGTTACTGTTCTTTCATAATTTCTGAAATTTTTTTTAGTATATTAAACAATTATAAAATTTTCGGAAGTTAATATAACATTTCAAAAATGTCTGACGTCCGCGAACTTCGTTAAACTGAAAATATTATTTCATCTTAGCGAAATAGGCAACAAAAAAATTTTAAATTTCCTCAAACGAGTTTTGAAACAATAAAAACATTCACTGATGTCAATTAACTAGTTCCATATGTTTACAACTTTGTATAGTTGACAAATATTAAAAAAAATCCTTCGATATCATTTAAATTTTAATTATTATAATTTTAGCATATTAAGATTAAGTTAAAGATTACTGGAGGTTAAATGTTTTAGGATCATTGTTACAGGATTCAAGCGTACATTTAGTTTTTACAATTAACTTTGAAAAAATGAAATACCATTTGTGTAACTAGCGTTAAAGTTACCAAGACGATGGCAGATAGAGACAAATACTGATGTTTTAAGTACTACTTGTTATAAGATGAAAGGTTCCTCTTCAAATGTCATTAGAAGTATATCTTTTCGTTTGAATAATCAGCATACCTTTCTTTGACAACGAAACTTCTCCAAATGCCTTTCAATATGGTTCGCAAACGTCAAAGGCACTCGCGTCTTCTCCGTTACCCATAATTCACTTCCCGAAATTGTTAAATTCACACACGCAGTCTAATCAAGTTCACTTTAATAAAATTAACAAAGTAGATAAACAATTTTTCGAAGTGAATTACAGTACCCTTTACGAGTAAAAAATTAAAGAGATATTTCAGAGTTTTTTAATATGGCGCAGCTGTGAAAGAGCCTTGCTCACTGAACAGTGATAACTTAACCGCCATCTTGGTGAACGCATGCGCTGTCCTCAAAAGAAGTCGAGGACGAAGACCGCGCGTGCGCGGTACCGGGCCCCTTTCGGACCCCTGGTCACATTACACGGGCTTGACGTCAGAATTGGGACAGTCAAACCAATGAGTTTGAGGAATGTGCTCATGCAAACATAACACGTTTCTTCTTTCAAATTTAAGTAATCATTACTTATCATTAATTGTTATGCATTACGGTGTACGATGCGAAAGAAAATGTACAGTTAAGACATATTTATAGGTTATGCATATTTTTAAATAAATTATTGCTAACCTAACTACGACCTATCCCAATACCAATTTAATCTGTTCTCGACCCAACCTGACCTTCGTGGACCTGGCATCGACCTAACTAGACCTTAAAAATTTATACGTCAACCTAACCTAACTACGACATTACTATATATGCTAATGAACTTCCTCGTGGATGTGATGAAATAAATTTTTATAACAAAGTTATAATTCTGATTATTAAATTCTATTTTTTGTATATTTTATTATTTCCATTCCTCAGTTTTCTATTGTAACAAAGTATTGAAATACATATCTGGGACAAAACTATAATATTTAAATAGCAATATATTTTTTTGATACATTAATTAATTCTTACACTAATTCTTCTCAAGCCGGTTTTTGTAAATTCACTTTAGAAAGAAGTTGGATAAGATGAATAAAGATTTGAAATGAAATGTAATAAAAACAAATGTTATTTAAATTCTTATTTTATTAAGAAATATGAGAAAGTAATTAAGCGACGAGAGCACTGGCAGTAGAACTCTCGTATTTCCAGTTAGCTGGAAGTGTTCCTTTCGACTTGTAGTATCTAGCAAGTCTGTGAATTCTGGACTCAACAAGAATCAATCTAAATTTGCTGTCTTTGTCTTTCCTATTTCTCTCCAAATGTTTCCTGATAGCCACTGCTTTTTTGATCAAATAGTAAAGATCCTCTGGTAAGTCTGGAGCAAGACCCATGCTTTTAACAATCCTGAGAATCTTATTTCCAGTACGGAAACGGACTTGAGCCACTCCATGAGAATCTCGCAATATTACTCCTGAAAATTGTTATTAGTTTTCAATAATTATTATTAACATCAACTTTTACTATTAATTTAAGAAAGTAATTGTACACAAAAAATATTTACCAATCTGTGATGGTGTGTGTCCCTTTTTAGCTAGCTTGTAAATTAATTCTTTACAATCCTCCGGTGTCAATTTTAGCCATGTTGGGACACTGCGTCTATATGGTAACGCTGACTGGGATATACCCTTACTACAACAAAATAAATTTCAAGTATTAAGATCTGCTTTCACTTAATTTTGAAACCTAATAATTCAGCTGGTACATAGACTGTTACAATAGTACATAGAACGTTTTGAGGTTATGTTTGAAGTGTAGAGTAAAACGTTCTACAAAAAACTAAATTATTTATTATTTCTATACGTCAAACTATAAAATCTTAATTAAAATATGTGAGAATATACACAATATAACTTAACAGATTTATTTTTTAACACTTTAAATAAACAACACGTGGCTCGTAATGATACGTTTATTTTATAACTTTCGCGAAATATATGTAAAAATTTATGTCACAGCGGAAAAAAATATAAAAAAGACATAAAGGAAAAGACTTTTAAAAAGATTTATAACAATAAATTATTGTATAATTTAATTTATTTTACCCAGGTGCGTGCATACGACCCATGTTTCCACAGTTTTCTTCCACAAAAGACAGCAGCGCTCTTTTGGCTCAATTGGCAGATAGTAAAACTACATTCGAACTAACATTCTTTCACGACTAATTGTATCCTTTGCTAAAATGTAAAATAATTTAATGCAATTTCAAATCATATTATTTTTTAAATTATACTACGAAATATGATTTGCATATACTTTAAAATATATAAAATAGAAATGTACAATTTGATAGGAATTATCGGATGCGTCTACTGATGTTTCTGATGCCAATATTGGCGTTCGCGCTACGTAATAAAGCATAATTTAATTATTTAACGAATAATAAAATATTTCTTTTAAAATTTTTCAATAACAACATTCAGGTTATATTGTATTGTATTTTATTTTTTCAATTTCTCTGGAAATTGGTTACAATTTATTCTTAATTTGTACAGTCTCTCTATATCTCTCCTTCTTGCTCACACACTTTCCCATCTATGTTTCATCCCAGTCACTCCAGTCTCCTCTGCTTTCTTTCTTTTCACTTATCTCAATTATTCTATTTCCTCACACTAACACATTACTTTAAAATATAGTATAACTTAATTGCAATAAGAATTTGTTTCTTTAAAACAAATTGTGTAATATACATAAAAAAATATATTTTTTTTATAAAACTTTATTTATTAAATTATGTTTCTTATACAATAAAAAAATGTATTACATATCATTAATATGCTGAATTATATTTCTGACTCTTCCACGACTTCTATTTCATCTCTGTAAGAATTATGCAGCATCACACCTAGAAATTAATATTAATATTAATTTTTTATTATTAGAATTAGCAAATAATATATACAGATTATCTTCGCATGTTGGTGATAACCTATAACAAAAATGACGACGTGTCATAATTATCTCAAACATCACCATTATTTTTTTTACTATAGCAAACTCATATTGAGAATCAATGATAAAGCACTGAATCTGAATTAGTTTGCATAATTTGTAACATATAAAGCAATGGGTTATGCACACCAAATACATTAGTAAACCTAATGCTGAGTACATATTGTTTCAAAAATTACATACCTAAAAGAAATATTATATCAATTAAAATGAAAAGCACGTGGCTTGTATTGAAATGTTTGGTTTCAAATTTTCATATAAATGAAATATATATGTATGCAGATTTATACTGTAATATTGTCAAAGATATGTATATAAAATTAAATTTAACAATATCTTAGTACATAATACCCATTTTTGCATACTAGTTTTAAGAAAAAGGTACATATATTAGGTATAATTTCGACTTACTATGTAATAACAGTTAGAATAACGGAACACGACCGAACCAGTCGCCGCTTCTAAGCGTACGAAGGTTAGAGACTATTGTACCGAAAGCCCTTGCGTCGACCATAGTATAAGTAAAATCAAGATGTGGAACACCAGTGGATGGTAGAAATCCCAACCTTAAAAGACCGCCATAATGTTCATTGAGCATTGAAGAAACCTTTTGTTTCTAACAGCGCCATATTCCAATTTCGTATTCGTATAGAATAGTGGGGTTTGGAATAGAATTTTATTGTTAAATGTTAAATATTAAATATTAACAGTAAATTGGCACTATATATTGGTGAAGAGCATTTTGAACTTAGTCGAGATACACGAAAAAAATGCAGTCATTTGTGTTGAGGACTATAGTAAAATCACGTATGTTCTAATTTAATACATATTAACACACTAAATTAGCATTAATAAAGTTTTAAAAGTATTAATAAAAGCATTTCAATTGAGTAAAAAATGGTTTTATGTAATTAATGTAAAGTTAATTTTGACTAAGTTGTTATTTCAGATATTAATAATTCTTACAATAATTAATATAGAATTATCTAAAAACTAATTAATAATTATTTGTTGATAATATAATTATACAACGAATAATTAATCTGATGATACCAATTAAAAATCGATATTATTGTCTTTTTAAGAAAAACGTACGAATGTAACATATATCATAAAATCAGAAGTTAAATCTACTGCTTTTCGTGAACTTCCGGCGGATGCTTACGAAGAATTCAAGTAACCGTCTAAAAAATGTTAATGCTGTACATATAAAAAATTGTACAATAAAACATTGTAGTTGTACAAATATTTTTTAAAGTAAATTACTATTTATTTTGTGTGAGGAATTATAAAATAAATAGTTTTGTGAGCGTTTAGTTTAACAACGAGAAAATAACGCAACGTCGCGAACGGCGTCGGCAGCCAAAATGTCGGCAGTTTTTCAACGTTAAGCGTACCCTCTGTCAACATTTATAAATCTCTATTGAAATCAACATCGAATCAACCAGTAATTGAATCATTGATGATGTATGATCGATATTAGATCCCCATGATACAGTGAAAAATCGGAATCTTCAGAATTTGAAAGGTAAATTGACGTTTTCTAGGTTCTTGCTCGTATAGCTCGGACCTCGTCCCTTTCTCTCAATGTATTTTAGTTAAAAATGTAAAAAATTCGTTGTTAAGGTCCTTCCATTAATTCGAAACTGAAGTTAATATTAAAGAAATGTCGTCAACTTGTATTGGAGATTAAAATTATGAAGTTGAAAATATTTTGGAGGAAATGAAATTAGTGATGTGGTTATATACAGTGACTCACAAAGTATTTCAATGAATTTGTAGTATGTAATTGTATTCAGTTTTGGAACATTTTTAATAACTATATTGTCTGAACTGTAAGTCAGACCTACCATTTTTAATTTATTTTAAAATGCAATAAGTTTGATATACCATATAAATAACATTGTACCAACATTATGTATTATAATTACATATGTAATTTAGCTGTGTATATCGCTGATTTTTATTTTACTTCAATCTGTTATAATATTAAGTCTTGTTTCCCTTAAATTGATCTGTATTTTATCATCAGTTTGATAAATTCTTTGTTATATTTAAGAAATTTTCAAATAATAATGGTTTTCATTATTTCAGATATTGTGTACAAACAATTTAATTATATCTTTAACTACACAATAGTTGTAACGATCAACAATGTATTATGTGTATCTATTAAAACTTGTTTTCTAATAATGTAATACATGTTAGATTAAATTTATATTAGTTATTGTATGTGCAATTTTGTCTCGAAAGATGATTAAAATTTTGTCATAACAATTTGCTATTGAGTGAGCCTTTATGTTTGTTGACAGTTGTTTGTTATTTGTTCATAATAATTTGTTCATAATAGAGTATAAATATATGACATAGATTTGAAATTCGATCTTTTATGATCCTGAGTTGTGGTCACCTACAAAATAATAATGTATTATCAACACCAAATTGGACCATAGGTGCAAAATGAATTTTTGTTTGCCTATATATTTATGTAGCTACACATATTTGTGTAGCATCATACATAATATCATCACTAAATATAAATGCTTCAACTTATATTTGCTTTACTTTATCATTTAATGTATAATAAATTCTATCATCCATATGACGAAATAACAATAGGGTACAGAGATTAGACATTCATAATATATTTTTTGTTCATTCAAATGTGCAAGACAACTATGGTTTTACTTGATGCTGAGTATATTTTTAATTTTATTTCAACTTATTTATGTATTGTAATGAACGTGATTTGGTAATGTTTACAAATTAATTTATAAGAATATTATTATAGCAGTAAGAAATTTTCAATTAGATATGTAATATTTCAATTTGAATCTATGAAATGTCATTGTTCTTAACTCTTTGTGGGCAGATATTAAGTCATGTGGATTCAGAATTGAATTATCAGTATATTGATGTAATATTACAAAAGTCTGTGAACCGCTGATTTAAAATATCAAGTTATAGTATAAATATAATTATTACTAGAATATGAATAATTGGTTTGAAATATGTTTTTAATTATGTGTAGGACATGTGACAAGACAGGTATGAGTTTGCAAAGAAGTTAAAATGTCTAGTGACAACGATCAGATTCCTCTGCCTGGTAAGCGGAAGAAACTTGTCATACATGATAGTAATGATAGTGATGAATCTATAGTTCAATCTCACAGAAGGAAAAGGACCTCTGTATGTATAAATTATTTTTAATTAAGCATCATAATCATGTATTTACATTGTAAGCATTCATTTATTCTATATTTTTCAGAAAGTTATTAGTGAAGGTGAAAGTAGTGATGATGATAGTGATATTCAAGGACCTGTTCTTCGCAGACCAACTCATGTAAACCTTGTTATAATATTAAAAACTTTTTAAAGTGTGATTTTAGTTTAGAAATGGATTTTTTCATATTATTTAAAAGTTCTTCTATATAAAATTTCACTTATCATTATATGTTCATTATATAAAAAACTTTTTATTTTTCAGAGGGTTATTATAAATGACGAATCAAATTATGATACTAGCAGTTCAGAGTCTAGCAAGCAATTTGGTTAGTTGATAGATATTTATTAATTAAAGATTTGCATTAAAATGTTATGAATATTAGAAGTTTTAAATTGATTTTTTAGGGGAAAGTAGCGAAAGTTCGGAATCACAATCAGATTGTAGCAGTTCATCAGAATTAGGAAACAAGTCTCTTTACAGACGAAAGTTTCTTGGCAAACCAAAATCTAAAAAACCTCCAAAAATTGTATCTGATACAGATTCAGACAGTAGCGATGAACACCTAGAGAAATGCCCAATTTGTCTACTTCCCTTTAGAAAACAGCAGATAGGAACTCCTGCTTCCTGCGAACATTGTTTTTGTTTGGAATGTTTAATTGAATGGAGTAAAAATGTAAATACCTGCCCAGTAGATCGACAAACTTTTGCAGTAATTCATGTTAAAGATAAACTTGGTGGCCAGGTATGTGGTACAAAGTTAAATTTTAAATAATAATCATTTACGAAGTCGGTTAACTTAAGTCAATAATATTTAATAGTATCACTTTCTTAATTGTATAGATTATTAAATGTGTACCAGTGGAAGTTACTCCTCGCGAAGAAGAAAGTCTAGATGATCTTACATTTTGTGAAGTTTGTCATCAAAGCGATAGGGAAGATCGTATGCTTCTTTGTGATGGTTGTGATTGTGGTTACCATTTGGAATGTTTGAATCCTCCTTTAGATGAAGTTCCTGTTGAAGAGTGGTTTTGTCCCGAGTGTTCACAAAACAGTCAAAGCGATGCAGAAGCTGTAAGATTTGTATTATATGACGTCATCTCAGTTATTTTATTTAAATACCAAAAGAATTATATTCATATATTTTTTTTAATGTTTCATTCTAGGTGGAAATTGATGTGGATGAAATCCCAGATTTAATGGAAGAAGCTCGTACGCTTGGTGTTTCTTATGGACGATCTTATCGCAACAATTTGATCCAAGACTCTTTCCGAAGAATTATACCTCGTACTAGACATACTGAACGTGTTAGAGCTAACATTCTCAGGTATTACTCAAATTTAAGAAAAAGTAATTTAAATTCAACTTTAAATAAAAATTAGTATAATGTAACTCATAAAATAAAATTATTTACAGGAGAAACAGAGTGGATGATAATTTACAATTATCTCATCAATTAAGACTTGATCCAAACCAACCTTCTACTTCAGGTTTGGAGTCTCTTGGAGATAACAGTCAAAGTCGGTCTTCAAGTAACACCTCCAGTTCTAGAGGTCGAAATTGTTCAAATAAACATTCTCGAAAATCACAAAAATCTCGAAGAAGTAGAAGTAGTTCAAGTGACTCTAGCGATGTAAGTGTTTCTAGAAATTCGCAAAGAAGAGTTGGCGATAAAAGTGATGCTGGGAACTCTGGTACTAAAAAATCCAGAAGAAAAAGTAGTAGCAAAAGAAAAAGTAGTACGAAAAAAAGTGGAAGTAGAACTAAATCAAGAAAATCTGGAAGATCTAAAAAATCATCTAACCGGGGTACACTGTTGAGAGAAGTTAGAATTACAGAGCGTAATGAAAACGGGGAAGAAGAAGAGATTGTAACATATGTGAAAGTGGCTTCAGTTGGGCCGCGAAAAAGAAAAACAAAAAGAAGAAAGGTATTTTAATGCTCCTTGACGAAGACTCTTTTTTTTACTTTTGATACAAAATTATAATTTTTGCGAAATAAACTGTTGTATTTATCTTATTTATATTAACCTCCTCATTAAACATCATAAAAATACGTCTTTTCTTTTTATAGAGAAGACGGTTCAGAAGACAAGCTAGAACTGTGTCCAGTGTTTTAGCTAATACCAAAAAAAGACTTGCAAGTTCTTTGGGTATTTGTAAGCCAGTTAAAGGTGTTCCCGCTTTACTGCCTAGTGTTAAAAACCGTGTAGTTTTAACGGAAAGATCCGCGTTGACTATTTCTAGATATAATGCTGGAATTTCAAGGCTTAGCTTACTTGGAGATGGTTTAAATCTGGATTACAGTCCTCCAGGGTAAATGCAGTATTATATTGCTAACAGTTAAACATAGTATGAGGTTGTAAGGAAAGTTCTGCGTAGAATTCTTTTCAAAAATATTTAATTTTATCAATAGTAAATATCAATGATAACTATATTGTAGACTAAACTTATTATTTGATAAAATGAAATATTTTTGGAATAGAAGGAAATTCTACCATTTTTTATAATATACATCTCGTTATAATTAGAGAAATACATTTATGTATATATCTGTATACTGAAGTGTTTTTGTGTTAAATTAGAATTAACTAAATTTTTCATATCTACTGTTTGTAGATCAGAGACGGAAGATTATCACACAAGTGTTGGTCCTACCATAACCGTTCAAAGACGCTCTGTGATTTCTTCCCGAAGACATCTACATCTAAAAAGTATTGCTAGTCCACAACAATCACAAATTGATCTTTTAACAAGCATAATAAGTGACCAAGAAATTTGGCATTCAAAAAATAATAATGTAACTTTAAAAGCTAATGGTCTCATTGTGAATGAAAAGAAAGAAGATGTCGACGATTTGAAGAAAGGAAAGCTAGAAGAAAAAAGCGTGATTAAAACAGAAGAAATAGTATCTACAGAAGACAGAGTTACTGGAACTGATGCTCCGTTAGAAATTTCCGGAATTAAACCAGAGCTAATTACACAGGCTCCAATGTATAACAATCCTTGTGGGGGAGGAAACAGAGGCAATTTCAGAGGTGGCTACAGGGATAATGCAAGGCATAGTCACGGTGGACAGAACTACGGTAGAGATTCTTTACCTGGAAGTGGAAGGCACAGTTATGGAGGAAGTGGAGGTAATTTTGGAAGAGATTTTGGACCACCTGCATTTTATAATCCAAATTTTGAACACTGTGGGCCTCCAATGTTCGGAGGCAATCCTCCGTTTAGAAATCGCAACCCTCAACACTTCAGAAACGAAAGGTATTAATTATAATTTCAAAAGAAAATATTGACTGCTATTTTTTTATTTGTTTTACTCAACAAATATTAATTATAATTTATCAAATTCACAGATTCCGCTTCATGCCTCCAGGAAGACCTCCATTTGCTTTCGGTGAAGGTTTTGAACATCACTCCTTTCCCGAAAGATTTGGTCGTCCTAGATCTCCTCAAGCTTCTCTCGAGCGTCCTCAAAATAATATGCCAGTAAATCTACCAGAAGACACTCCAAGAAATGACACTGCAGAACAACAGTCGCAAGATAGTGAAAATACTTCAGTCAGACAAGAGGAAGATTGTGATATTTATTGTGACATTGAAACAAAGTCAGATGGGGAACTTCAGGATCAACAAAATGGTTCCATGGCTTTGTTACCACCTCCAGAACCACCATCAGGACTCCTAGATTTTGAAGAAAATTCAAGAAGTGAAAAAGACAGTGACCAAGAATTAGTTATCGATGATAGTCAAAAAGAAGACACTCCGAAAAATGATAAGTATGATCCTTTTTCCGTGGACAGTGACAGTGACAGTGAAACGAAGAAAAACGAGGAAGAAACAGAATCAAAAAATGAAAGTCAGACATCGAAGACTGTAGCACAACCTGAAGTTCTGGATCCATCGCTTCGTTTGTCAGTTTACGACGATGAAGAAGAAGAGGATTCTCAAGCAGACTGTCCAAACTTCTCCATTTATTCTTCGCAAACAATTGACGTAGCACGACATACCGAACAACAATTATCACAGCAAATCGGACCTCTCGAACCACCACCGCTTCCGCCTTCGATTCCAGATGATGATGATGTTATTGTCGGTGATGTTCAAGCTTGCGATCTTGCTGACATTCCAGAACCGTCTGATCCATATGTTGAAGCTTTGCGGAAGGAAAGACAAACTTTGAGTAAAATCCCGCCAAAGAAAATTTCTCATGATAGCAGAGGCAAGATTACCTTCAAAATTGGTACTAAATTGAAGATCAACAACAGATTGCTAGGACTGCAAGAAGAAGAAGAAGACAAAGAGAGTGACGATGAGAAGAAAAAGGAACCTGAGGTAAGCAACAAGTCATTCTTGCAGTACATTTTAATTATAATAAATTCACTTATGTGATTTTATTTTTATAGCCAGCAAAAGAAGAAGAAACGTCTGTTGATCGTGATGAAGAAAGGAAAAAGATTGCCAAGAGTAAACTCGAGGAAGAACTTGAATCAAAAGAAGAAGAAAAGGAATTAGAAAAATCATTATCGCCTGTAAATCCACCTCCAGTTGAAGAGGAAGATGTGATTGAACAACAAACAGAAAAAGAGTGTTTAGAAGTACCCAAAGTTGATACGCTAAAAGTTAATTTGAATGAAGTTGTTTCTGCAGAAGTAACTGAGTTATCGCCAAAAAATGTAGAGAACAAATTAAACAGTGAGTGTATACCGAAAGAAGATGTTGAAAAGTTAACACCACTTCTTGAAACATCGAAGATCAATGACAAAGAAGAAAGTTCAATGAAAATTTCGAAATCGGATGAGAAACATGAGGAAGCAAAAATTAAGGATGTAGATGATTTAGAGAGCGAAAAAGACGACAAAGAACAACGTCATGGCGGTGAAGAAGAAGAGGAGGAAGAGGAAGATGAGGAGGAAGAAGAAGAGGAAGAAGAGGAAGAGATTTCAATGGGAAGATTTCCCATTGAAAAAGACAAATCTGACAAAAAAAGTACTGTCGAAGAAGACGCTAATAAGCAAACATGGGAATCAGATGGAGCCTATACTCCGTGCAAAGATGAACTCCCTTTGAAGGAATCAAAATCTTCTTCCGAACAAATGTCACATATGGAAAGTGGTTTAGAACCAATTACGCCCACGAAAGATAAACCTGACGATTTGGATAGTTGCAGAACGCCTGTAGATTATAACGCTTTAGGTACTGAAGCTATTTCTGAGACGGATGAAGCAATTAACTTTGAAGATGAACTCACTTTATTAAGTTTGAGAAAGGAGAAGGAAATGGAGGATGGAGAAATCGTTGAAGAAAAGAGTACTAAAGAAGGCGAGAAACCTGAAAATGACAAAGAAGATGACAAGAAACGGAAAAAGAAAGAGAAGAAAGAAAAAAGTAAGGAGACAGAGAAGAATAAAGAAAATATTGCTTCAGAAAATCAAGTAGCATGGAAGAAACTTTCTAAAAGTACAAAAGAGAGATCTTATAGGGATAAAGAGAAGCGATCAAAATCAAAGGAGAAAGAGAAACCGAAGAAAAAGAAGGAAGTGGTTAAGAAGAAAGAAAAGAGGAAAGAATTACCCAGATATGATGTTAGAAAAATAGTTGCTGAAAGACCTTCGAGACCAAGAAAAGACGAATATGGAAGAGATATCAGAGAGAAATCAAGGCAAAGAAGCAGATCTAGAAGTTGTAGTTCATCCAAACGTTCTAGATCGTATTCCAAACTTCGATCCAGAAGCAGATCTAGGACTAGATTACAAAGATCATGGTCAAGGGACCGTAGATCATACTCAAAATCTCTTTCAAGAAGAAGATCGCTTTCTCGAGGAAGACGTAAGTCGCCCAAAAGACGATCAACTTCCAGAAAAAGATCTTCTTCAAGGAAACGATCGCTGTCCAGAAGAAGATCGAGGTCGGTTTCCAGAAAGAGAAGGTCATTGTCTCGAAGAAGATCTAGAAGATCTATCTCGAGGTCCAGAAGATCCCTTTCAAGGACTAGACAAAGAAGATCCGTATCGAGATCCAGGAGATCTTTATCCAGATCACGCGACAGGCGCAAGGATAAGAAGAAATATAAGTCTCGAAGTCGATCAAGGAACCGCAAGCGGTCTCGATCAAAATCACCCCGTAAATCTTCGAAATCTAAGGAGAGGAAACATTCGAAACGAAAAGCACAAAGCAGGTCGAGATCCAAAGCAGGTTCTTGCTCAAGGAATTGGGAACAAGTTGACAAAATTGTGGAACCAGACTTCGCAAGAGAAAGGGAGGAAAGAGAATCCTGGAGTGCTCAATGGACACCTTCTTGGTCAAGATCCAGATCCAAAACGCCACAGCATGTACAACAAGATGCAATTGCATCCAGGGAATGGTCTCCAATGATGGAAAATGTTGCAGTTCCGCCAAAAAATTTGACTGTAATTTTAACCAATAAAGAAGCTATTAAGAAGAAAAAGAAAGAACGTCGAAAGGATAGTAAAAAGGGGAAAGATGAAAAAAAGAGAAAGGGGAAGAGAAATAGAACTCCTCCACCATCAAAAGAAGTGTTCGCCAGTGGAGACAATATTTTGGTCAGTGTGTGTTTCAACAAGGATAATGAGAATGACCAAACGGGAGTTCCAGAATTTCCGGAAACAATTCCTTTGATTCCTCCTCTGAAACGACGTCGTAGGGAATCCTTACAGGCAGAGCCTCCAAAGCGTTCAAAGAAAGAGAAGTCAAAGGATAAGCGGTCCAAATCTCCAAAGCCTAAAAAAGACAAAAAGAAGAAATCTAAAGCAGCTGAAATAGCGGCCACGAAGAAACCAGTAGCCGTGATTGATCTGGATCAATCTCCGTTCAGAGAACAGACACCATCGCCAAGAGACGTGATAGTCCTCAGTGATGACGACGACAAACAAATTCAGCAAATCACACCAGATCAGTGTCAGCCTTCACAAAATTCTCCACCGCGAGAACAGTTTGTTTCTCAAGGTCCTAAAACACCTCCTGAGCCACAAATAAAATTCTCAATAAATAAACAAACCAACAACTTACGACCATCAATGTTGAATCCCCTTTTGGATGAGGAGGAAGAAGAAGAGATGGATGAAAGGGTTGAAGAAGAATTAGAGATGAGAGCACAAGAAGAATTGGAATTAAGATTGAAAATTGGACCGAATACCCCTCCTGAACCTCCAACTTCTCCTCCAACTAGTCCAGATGCTTATGATCCATTTGATCCAACAAAATCTAGGTCACCAACACCAGATGCCAGCCAAGAAGCAAATTCCGGCGATGAAAGAAGGAGGTCCCCAAGGAAACACGACTCTGTTGATGGAAATATCCTTGAAGAGGAAAACATCCAGTCGCAGGAAAGGCAGAGCCAAGAGAAGCAGCTGGAGAAGCCTAAAATTATTTCTATGGTGACAATTAAAAGAGCTTCTCCACAACGGGATGATGCGAATGAAAATGAAAACAATAAGGATATAGCAGTTTCAACTGGGAATTTAGAGGTACAACAGAATCAACAAAATGTACAAAATCAAAATAATCCTTTCGCGGTGATGAATCCTGTACTGGCTACGGTAGCTGCAGCAGTACAAAGAAGTGGTGTATTCAATACGTCCAATTCAAACAATAGCCAACGTAACTTGTTACAGCCAAATAGAATCTCACCAAGTAATCAACAAAAGCAGCGTTCAGGGGATCGTTCTCAAGCACCTGCAGTGTTTGTGAACACTGGAAAGCAAAGAGGATCAAAATCTGGTCAGACAAAAACGAATGGACAGAATGGCAATGATGCAGGTACGGAAACAACAGACAACGTGGATATGTCTTCTCCTTATTCGCCTGGCTCAACTCTTAGCGATGGTATTTTCGATCCACCGAGTCCTACGGCTTATAATTCACCTGGAGCTGGAACCGGTGGTGGTGGAACAGGGCCTGTTAGTGGATCCCAACCTATTAAAAACAGCAGTTCGAAAACAGCAAAGCCCACTGATAAGAAAGATGCTTTCGATGCACTTTTTGGTGCTATGCCAGTTACGAAGACTACCAGTAAACCAAGCAAAACCAAAAAGTCTGAGAAGGATAAGAAGAAAAAGTCCACAAATCCAAAAGTAGGTGTCAGAATGGATGAAAATCAGCTACAAATATTGGATGATCTTCCAAGTTCTGCTGTTGAAATGCAAGTCAAGGATAAGGTTTGATTTTCATGCAAATTTATTACAATGTTTAATCAAATTTCAATTTTAAAGCTATCATGATAACATAGATTTTTGTAAGATCATTAAGTTTGAAAATTATCCAATGTTCATTTTATTTTGAGTTATTCATAATTACTTATTGTTATGTAGTTCCTAAAGAAATTAAATCGCCAAGAACGAGTGGTGGAAGAAGTAAAGTTGGTCTTGAAGCCTCATTATACAAAAAAACATGTTACAAAGGAAGAATACAAGGATATTATGCGTAAAGCAGTACCCAAGGTATATTAATGATAGTTATTGCCTGACTACATTATAGATATAACAGTTATAAACTTTTTACATATTATTGCAGAATATATCAAATTTATTAGAGTACTTTTCATATTAAATGTGACCTACTTATTTTTGATAAATGTTATTTATGTTTATTTTTGTATTAGATATGTCACAATAAGACAGGAGAAATCAATCCGAAGAAAATCGCCCATTTAATTGAAGCTTACGTTAGAAAATGCAGAAATAGTAAGAAAAAAACTACTGAGAGTTCCTCTACGAAGGCCTCTAAACCCACGTAAGTGTTACCAAATTTTTATTTATTTTTTATTTTTATATCAACTTCATATTAAATATATGTTAGTATTATTACACAAATGCAAAATTAAAAGAAAGTATTTTTTTCTAATTTTTTTAATTTTATGTTAATCAAGTTCAAAAAGGAGTTACGACTAAAATAAATGTAACTTTATTTGTTATAGAAAAATTTTGTGGAGTTGATCACGAGTCAGCTAGGTGTCTGTTCAATTCCCTTCAATTTTGTAGTTCAGACGATCGTCGTGCTCGATAAGCGGTGAGTGAGCTTCGAGACAGCTAGTCTCCACTTCGATGATGCGATGTATCTTATATTCTCTGTAAATACGTAATTAATTCATTGATTGGTCGATTGATTGATTGGTCGATTGGTTGCTTGCTTGCTTGATTGATTGATTGATTGGTTGATCGATTAACTTCTACGAATACCATTGATTATTTATATAAACGATACCCTTTGTCTCATCAGGAAGTCTAAGTGTCTCTACGGAAGATCCATTATTTACACAACATTGTGTTCGTTCTCTCTCTTTCTGACTCTTTCTCCCCGCTCCTTTTTTCTCTCTCTTTGTCTTTTTTTTACTTTAATTTTCACAAAATTTAAATTTATTCAATTGATACTTGATTAGTATTTCATATATGTGAAATTTATCACAACCTGTGATTTTTGTTAAAGTATATGGAGTTAAATTTTATACATTTTAATGATTGATTAAAGATTAGATTATTTTTTTTTTGTAAATATATCCAAACTTTAAAATAAACTAAAATAAATCATTGAATAAAATTTTGTGTACAAAAAAGACAAACATGGTAGATGACCCATGTTTCCTATGGCTTATTAACATTTTGAATTTATTTACAATTTATAATTTCGTATTTTTAAATTATTACCCATTCATTTCTTTATTTGGTTGATTCATACATTTATGGAACTTCAGAGACTAATCATTATTATTTGCAATTTACTATTTACAAATTGTCGAACACGTTAAGAAAGCATATGACTGAATTTTTTATTAAATTTTTTATGAGCAATATATTATAAAAATTCATCAAATATCAGAAATTGTATAATTAGATTTTCTAAGAAAAGATATATATAAATGTCATAAACAACAATATTTAATACTGGTATGCATTACCACTGTTCATATTAGTATGCAATTGATATTTTAACAGTTATTTATTGAAACGATAAAATGTTAGCCTTTATTTTTTAATTTTTATTAGTAAGAAAAACGCATTGATATTCATGATAGGTGTATTTATAATACATGAGGATATTACATACCGTAAATTGACACTTTGGCTTTTCCGCAGAGACTTGTCATTCTCGTATTTTTTAATGCACATGTAAAAATGCTTAAATGCCGCGTTTCAGACATATTGTAATTTCACTCTTTCTATAGAGTTGGACATTATTCGAATAAATTGCTGTTATCATTAGACTCTTCATATTATCAATACTATCGCATCTACTAGTACTGTATTATTAAAACTATTATATGTATTATTAATATATGTGTAATTATTTGAACGAATTTCTAGATCATTTTTTATTTATTTTTAAGTTCATCCATTGATCTGGTTTGAATGAATGAAATTGTGTTTGAATAAATATGGCAGTTCAATTACTTTTTAAAATGAAATTAGAAAAACTTAATTAAATCTGACATAATTTATAAATATTGAATTTAAATGTTTAATAAATATGATACAAATTAGATTACAAAATTTTGCAAGTTACATGAAAATAATGTACAATACAAAACAAGTTGCTTTAAAAGTTGTTAGCAGTAAAATGAAAATATGAATATTGTAAATTTTCTATAAATTGTCTTCAACTGATTTATCTGAAAAAATTAAAAGCAGTAATTAGTCAAATTGGTGAAGAAACATACTGAGTGCTATATAAGTGCTTTAGTCATTGAATCTTATTCGAATAAAGACTGTCCAACTCTAGGTGTTGTATAGCCATAAAATATGAATGAAAGTGAACAAGATGGAATGAATGGAAATTAATTTTAAGACATAGATTTTGTCTCGTGAAATTGTAAAGTAAAAACTTTTGAAAGAGTAGATACTACTCAGAACTGTATCAAATTTGATTGGCCAAAATTTGTCCAATCATATTCCAATCATGGCCAATTGTATTTCTCTAATATTGAACGGATAATGTTCGATTCTTTTCACGAGTAGAAAAAATAAGAATAGTTGCAGTCTTTTTTAAGTTTAAATTAATTAAAAAACATTATCTGTTAGCATTACAATACTAGCAATGTTTAATTATAATTAATAACTGCATTACATTATATTGTACTTAAGTTTGAATTTAACCTTCAATGGTTGAACAAAGCAGTTCAATGAAAATATGAGTTAAAACAAATGTGATTTTTAAATTCAATTTTAAAAAATAAGAAATAATCACTGAACTATGATACAAAAAGATCAATAAACAATTATAAAGAAATAAATTCCCATGCCCTACGACTTACTTGACTTGTCCATGATTATTATTTGGAGTGTTTCTTACTGCCATTCGCATGGCTTATTACAATATTAGAACCAAGTTGATATATGTATTACTAGGTTAGATGAATTATAATGTTTGAAGAAGAGATTAACTTTCAATTTAATCAAATATTTTTAGCAGCTAGATTTCAGTGTTATTGGGTTTATTATACCATGTATCTAGGAATATAGGGATAGAGTATACAATTGCAGGATGAAGCCATAAAACTGCCATTGGGTGCACCACCAAATTGAAAATTTAGAACTTTTGAATTTTAAAATTTGTAAATTAAAAATTTTTAAATTTGATGTTTCTAAATTGCTAAGCTTAAAAATCTAAATTTTTAAAATAGTGGTGCATGTGTAAAAAAAAGGTTTACTTGCTATTAACTTAAAAATGTGTTTTAATCGGTAGTTCATAATTTCTCGTAATTGGCGGTACAGACATGCGCAAAACAGTAACCAATTAAATGTAGGCATCAATTACTAAGATCTCCTTTTTATGTTGTTTTCACTCTAATGAATAATCCAAACTTACAGATCATCCCTATATTTCTATGCTCGTGGTTTATACACATGTAACTGATTTATTATGCATAAATGTCTATACAAACGGCTCATTTAATAGCCTACTTACAGTGATGAAATTAATAGTATGGGATAAAATGTATTATCAGTTATTCATTCAACGAGAGATCATATTCAATTCGTGTATCGTGGTTATTTTCAATTGACTCTTCACCAATTAGTGAACGCCGTCGTCATATATACAATAAACAAAATAATCATTAAATGAATAAGTAGAAAAAGTAAAGATGCAGAAAGTACACAAAATAAAAGATTACCAATATATATATGTATACATATATATATTTGTTGTCACGAATGACATAAAGGCGCACGCGCGTTACTCTTGGTTACGAAGTGACATGCGCAGGACGAATGAAAACACGTCGTGTGATGAGCATGATCTCCTTTTGAATGAATAACTAAATAAATAAATTAAATTTATCTTCTCAGTTTATTTTGATACTTTCTTTCCATCGAAAAATTTAACAGAATGTCTTCATTGTTTTGTTATACAAAAGATACTTGTATTTAGTTGCTGTAATTAACATTATACTGTTTTCTACCTTTCTTTTCTAGCTTCCTTTAAAGTCCTTACATAATATTTATCAAATTACTTTTCAAATTATTTATTAATATCATGTTACAGTAATTTATTAAACAACATTCAATTTGGTTATGTAGAATACTAATATGTAAGTGATTATAATAGGTAAAAAAATATTCTGACGTATCGTGTTTAAATTAAAAATGATTAAATCAGAAATCGCGCTCACACTCCCTTTTCCTGGAAAAAGATGGCGCTTGCACAAGCACTTCATGAAGACATGTAGCAATTGTATATATATTCCAGAGATATTCGAAAGTAATATGGGCACAGATTTGTGATGATGTACATAATGAATAAAAAAATTGAAGCAGTTATTGAAAAACAAAAAATACAGATTAATGATGTAGTATAATAAATGTTAAAGAATCGAACAAAAAATATCCCTAGGTCAGTAAATTTTTATACGTTTTATCCTAATAAGCCAGAAATTAGGATGCGAAAAATAATTAAACTTACTTAACAAACGATATTCAAAACTCGAATGATCACGAACGCAGTTTGTGAAAATTAAGCACGGATAGTAATGTGTGTGTCAGTGTATGCGTGTGAAATTTTTGTACTAAATAATAATGTATATACAATGAAGGGAGAAATAAAGAATTTATTATCGAAAAACTTATAATTGAATTATTTAATTTGTAGTTCAACACTTTATTTGAAATTAAATTGTTACTCTAATTTCGTTCCATATTGTAAACAACGCTGTAAAATCCTTCCTATTGAACGTGAAAATATATTTTATAAATATTTTATCATCGCAATACGTTCTGTTCGTCAGTTGTAATAATTTTTATTTCCTACATTTATGTATTTTATGAACATTACAATTACAAATTACAAAAATTGAGTATTTTATTATTTTATATACGTACATTTATATTACCATCGACTGTTGTTGGTTTATTTTTCCCACCATATAAATGACCACAAAAGTAAAAGTCAGCTGTAGAGAGATAGCATACTTAAGAATAGAAATTTCCCTAGAAATATATACACAGTAGCATCCGCGTGACAGCACATCCTTCTTTATCGCACCATAAATTCTTTCTTGCAAAGTTGAAAACGGATATTATTTTGGTGACATTCAAATCTGTTATTGAATACATAGAATAAGTTAATAAATTGAATAGTATACTAATAGAATATTTATAGATATGTATTAAATAATGTTGAAAGTTTTTCGCTACGTAAATTTCTCTACTTCAAATCAGTTTATAAGAGTAAGTATGTATTTAAAGATATATCTTTCGTTAGAATTTTAGGTTAACTTTATAAAATTGTGAAATTGTGAAATTTTTTAAGTCATACGTTCTACTTTATTGAATCATAATAAATTATAACTAATTAATTATATTGAGATAAGAATCATTAGTTATTATTTGTTTACTTCTTGGTTGTATTTATATATTACAAATAAAAAGTACTGCTTATATTATAGTGTTATATTATAACATTCCTGTAACTTATATAATTTAATTTTTATAAAGGGTCAAAACACTTGGCACAAAGTCATAATGAAAGATGAACTGATCCCACCAAGCAGACCTGATCCAGTAATTAAAAAATTAGACAACCCTATATTTCATTCTTTATTTACACCTGAGCTTAATATCTTGGCAGAGTTATTTAAAAAACGTAATTATGAATTAAGGATTGCTGGTGGTGCCGTCAGAGATATTTTGATGGGTATAAAACCGGCGGATTTAGATTTTGCAACAGATGCTACTCCACAAGAAATGAAACGTATGTTTGAAGAAGAAAGTGTTAGAGTGCTTAATACCAATGGAGAAAAACATGGTAAATTGGAACCTGTTACAGTGTTCTTGTTCTTATTGAAACAAAATATGCAAAGACCATTGAATTCATTATAAATTTTTAAGGTACAATTACATCAAGAATAAATGATAAAGAAAATTTTGAAATAACCACACTCAGAATTGACAAAGAAACTAATGGTAGACACGCCCAAGTTGAATTTACAAAAAACTGGAAATTAGATGCTCTTCGTAGAGATCTTACAATAAATTCTATGTTCCTTGATCTTGAGGGAAAAATTTATGATTATTTTTTTGGTTATGATGATTTGCAGAAGAGGAAAATTGTTTTTGTTGGAAATGCATCACAAAGGATTAAAGAAGATTATGTTAGAATATTAAGGTATTCTTAATTAGCTTCTTAGAATATTTAACCAAGTTTAGTGATTAATATTTCAATACTGATGTGGTTCAAAATCAAATTTATAATCCTTTAAAACATCATTCTGTAGGTATTTTCGATTTTATGGAAGGATAGCAGAACAACCAGATTTACATGATGAAGAAACAATAACAGCAATCAAAGAAAATATACATGGTTTACAAGATATATCTGGTGAAAGAATTTGGAATGAATGGTCTAAAATTCTTACTGGAAATTATGTAAAAGAGCTAACTTTAAAGATGTTAGAATGTGGTATTGCTAGGTAATTTTATGTTAATAACAGTGGTGATAATAGATTTATTTAATAGAATATTCAATTGAATCATTTATAACTTTATTAATACTATGTAGCTAAATCTTTTTCAGGTATGTTGGTCTTCCAGAAGATCCAAATATAAAAAATTTTGAAGATGTTTGTGAAGCATCTAAGAAAAACAATATTGTTTTACGACCTATTACTTTTCTTGCTATGATGTTAAGAAATCAAAATGAAGTAATTCAACTACATAACAGACTAAAGCTTTCTGCATTTGAAAGGGACTTAGCATTCTTTCTAGTTCGGTTTTGGGAAGAAAATCCATCAGTAGATGCTTTGAAGTTTTATAAAAAGATTCTTGTTCATTGGAAAGGCAATATTCGTAATGGAAGAAGTTATATCTGTGAATTACTTTTATGCAAGCAGCAATATAATCTTGCTAAAGAACTGGAAAATACAGTAATACCTAGGTATATAAATAACTATTTAACACGTTTAAATATTACTTAGAATATTTTTGTATTAATACCATTGTAATTAGAATAGTAGATAAGATACTTTATTTTTAGATTTCCAGTTAGTGGAGATAAATTGAAAGAACATGTTAAAACAGCAAGGACAATAGGAATCATTATTAAAGAGTTGAAAAATATTTGGTTGGATAAAAATTTCAAAATGACCGCAGAAGAATTACTTCAAGAAGTACCCAGAATTGTTAGCGAATTAGAAGATAAATGTTGCTATAAAAAAAATTAAAAATTATTAATTGTAGAAACAAAATATATATTAAAATTGTATGGTATTTTCACTGCATTTTTATGTTTTTAGGACTTTGTGATATTGTACATAATATTTATTACAAATATGTTGATATTAAAAACATTAAATCAACTAATTTCGAGTACTTTTAAAAACATACACTAAAATTTAAAATTCTGATTTGTAAAAGGTATGAAAAGGGAAAAAATAATTATACATTATTTACAATGTATAATATTATAGAAAACATTCTATATTAAGGTTTTTAACAGTATAAGACACATTTATTTTTAAGAGCATCACATATTTATAGTAAATTGCAATTCCTTAAAATCTATTTACACGGTAAATTGATAATGTGAAAGAATATTCGCAAGGGACCCCTATTTAAAAAAATTTCTTCGTTATTTAACATTAAATTGTGCATTGAAACCATGATTATTCTATAATCCTTTTTTACGATTTAAACTAAACTAATAGTTTTCATGATTTTTAATTCCAAGTATGAAAATTTGCTTACTCCAGAAACAGAAGTTTTATTAAAGTACAAGGTAGAACTTTTAACACCTTGACTTCAAAATACAATTTCAACCCGTTTATAATTAAAATTTGCTTGTACTTTAAGTCTAGTAATTTATTATGTAAAATTACTCTCACATAAAACTAACGTTAATGAATCAATTGAATATTTCAGGATTTCAATGCATTTTTGATCCGACAAATAAAAACTTCAATTAAGCTTTAAAAACGATTTGAAAATAATGGTTAACTTCTCTGTTTCTTACAATCACTTTTTACTCAAAAGAAAATTTTAACTTTTCTTTCGGAATAAATTCAGAACGAAATCTGATACCAATTTCATGTGAACACATTATCAGGTTTACTTTTATAACTCTATATATTTACTTTTACCACTCCGCATCACCATTCATTTTCTGAAAAACATAATCCTTACCGCTGAGGTTCATTATACCGTCTTTGAGGTAGAATTTCCATTTGTTTCTACTCCTTGTTATCTGAAAATAGATTTCCCGTTAATTAAAGTACTCAGTTACAAAAATTTACTGACTCTTTCGTCAATAAAAGAGACTATAGTTTTATCGAGAGATTTTTAAATAGTTTAGTATAAAAAATGCCTAGGATCAATCTAGAATCAAATGTTAAAATAAAATTAATAAATACCTTATCATATTGACAAACAACTACATTATCAGTATCAAAAAGATCTGCTGGGTCGTCATCCGTTACATCATCTTCCGAATTTAATGGTTCCTGAAAAATAAAAACCATGTTTTTAAATAAATAATACTTAATAAATTCTTGCATATAGAAAAAATTGAAAAGCTGAAGTAAAACGTTTTCAATACTTCTTCTCTTGCTGCAGCTTCATCATTTTCTTCTTCTTCTTTATCATCAAGATCTTCTTCTTCATCTTCGTTGTCTTCTTCTTCTTCTTCTTCATCATCATCTGATGAATCTCCAAGTGGACCATCTAACTGTGCTATGTTATTCTGTTTACAGTAATAAAAGTAATAAATTAATTTTGATTAAAGAAAAGAAATTAACAAACTAAATACATAAATCAATAAAACAACAAAATAAAATACCTGATTTTGAACAGGCCGTTGAGAGACATTATTTGCATTTTGTGTGACTACTTGAAGAGGCTGACTAACTTGGAGGGGTGCCAATGCTTGGCCCTGAAGTGTGGAATTGACATGCTGCTGGAGCAATGTGGAAGCCAGATTTGCTGGCAATCCTATTGCTGCTGAAATAACTGGACCCGTCAAAATTGTATGCAACTGATTACCTGAAAATAAATAGCAACATAAACTAAGTTGGTTGATTAATACAAAATCAAAGTTTCAATACCATTAATGCTCATATCAATATTAACACATAAAATTATTTTAATATACCTTGGATTGCAGATGCAGGAACCTGTATAGTTAGAATTCTTTGAGGAGCATCTGGTACACCTGTTTGTGGTGGTAATGTTATTTGAATAGGTACTTGTCGGTCCATCACTGCAGACGTCTGTGTCACTAACTGCTGCACTGGTGCACCAGTATGTTGCTGTATGCCAGTTGTAGTGGAATGGCATTGTGTCTGAGTTTGCGTTTGTTGAGGAGCCTGTTGTGATTGTTGTTGCTGCTGTTGTGTTGCTTGTTGAGGAGCTGAATTTCCTCCTGTTTGTTGTACAAAATGATTTCCTATATTACCTAAAAATGGAAAACTGCATTAAACTTGTTGGGATAACTTATTTATGTTAATAAACTTCACATATTTGTCATAAATTTTTAACTTCAATGGTACTTGGAATTTTCTTACAGACTTAATATTTTACATATTGAATAAGTAATAAAAATATTCTCTTTTCAGAAACATAATTTACATACCTTTATTAACAGGCACAGCTTTGTGTGTATTTATTTGAGGAACCTGAGGCTCTGGAGGATCTGGATTTAGTTCAACAGCTTTACTAGACATTAATTTAGTTTCCCATATTTGTTTGAGCTCTTGTAGTACTTGTTCATCTACACCTTCGTCTATAAATGATTCTCTTACGCCTGATATAACATCCTCTATCACAGTATTATATAGTTTTAGCTGTAATCAACATATACTTTATTTTAAAATTAAATTTTTTCTAATTCAAACTTCAAATTGCTCTATTTACTATAAACTTTTACATTCATTTCATCATCTTTCATATTGTATAATTTCATGATTTTATTTAAAGTAATTTCAATGTTCATTAATAAGACAAGCATAATCATTATTATTTATAACTAAGTTGAATAAATAATAATTATAGAAAAGTTAATACAATTAATGAAATTCAACAACATTACAATCAATTTTTAACCTAACTTTATTCAATAAAATCTTTAAGCGAATGTTATAAGAAAAATGATTCACGTAAAACTGTAAAAAATTTTCATTCATTTTCTCTCATTCATACAATTTTACAATTATAATATAATTTATAGATTTGTAACCTATAATAATTAAAATTTCATCAGTGATACATAAATAATTACAAATTTAATACAAGAAGTTTTAATTAAATTAAACAAAATCAAAAACGAAGATAAGTATAATGGTGATAACAAAAAAATAAGGTGATAAAAATCATCATTGTCGTCATCATGATGGTTATAATTAACAGTTCCTTTTATCATTGCTGCTTTCGTTCATACTTGCTACTCACCACACTTGTCTGACTGAGGGACATTGCGAGGATAATTCGTATTGTCTAATTACAAGAACAATATGAACAATCCAACGTATAAATCAGCCCCAGTTCAGAAGCCGATTCGTCGTAGCATCGCTCTTTTATATACTGTGGACACGTCTCCCATTCCACCTGACTCTAGCGTGAACCGAGAACAGCCATCTCAAAAAAAAATCAATGTATCCAACTTCATCGAACTAAAGTTTTACATATAACGTTGCAAAAGTTAGGGAATATCATTATTTACTACAGGAAAGAAATAATTTAGCTTAGTTTATTGGTTCTATGCAGGAAGATGGCGTCTGAACGACATTACCGCTCATTCTGCCCTAAGAGTAAAGAAATTATGAGAACTGAAATATGTAAATCTGCCTTTAAGTTTATTGCAACGTCGCACAATGTGTCGTTTGGCTAATCTAGCGGGACAAAAATCAATTAAGAAAATATCAATATTAATGTAAAAAACAATATGTAATGATCTGTTAATAGTATCTGAAGATGTAGTTTGACGCAACTGCTTCTACGAGCACCTTTTCCGCGCTTGTGATTTTTGACAATTGTCTTGTATCAGTATCCAATATTAATATTTGTGTATATGTAGTGTAATCTTCTATCATTCAAATGATTTTCACACTTGTCATATTTTGAAATAGCATTTTATTAATCATTTATACTTTTATACCTTTTTAAATGTTAGCATATAATTTAAATTCTATTTCACAATATAGGTAGAACTTTGACACAGTATACCACTTTATACAACGATCCCACTTCTTGTGTAGGTTAGATCAAGCTAGGTACGAGACCTAACCTAATACAAACTAACCCAAAATCCTATACCTAACCTAATCCAACCAAACACAAAATCCCAGACCTAACCTAATCTGACCAAACACAAAATCCCAGACCTAACCTAATCCGACCAAACCCAAAATCCCAGACCTAACCTAATCTAATAAATTTAAAAACAAAATTGGACTAGATGGTTTATACAGATAATAATTATTTTTGTGTACAGCTCAAATTATGAATGATGAGATAATATGGTTTACTATATATTTAATTTGCAGATGTAACGCTACATTTTAAAAGAAGTTTACAAAAAACATAATATTTCGTTCTAGATTTATAAATGATTCTAAATGTGGCCTGTGGCAATACTTTTATCCAATACTATGCATACAAAAATTTTGTTATTTGCATCAGATATATCTTTCTTATAGTTATCACATATATATAAACTTTAAAAAAATAGACAAATTTTCATAAAAACAGAAACTTTTAACGCAAAAGTTTTTCATAATTATGTATGCTACATGCAAATCTTATTCTATAATCATTCAATAATTAATTATTATCCATTTCGATCTTCTGGTGTTTATTACCATTCACCAGATCTCAGATGTTGAAATATTGAACTATTGGATGCAGTCCATGGATTAAAAAATTACATGTATTACATCTTTATTGATTGGCATGAATTTTAATACTTCAGCTGTTATTAATGAGCCTGTAAAGAAGAACTTTCAGTTATTTAATATCTATAATTTTGTTATATAAAAAGGTTATTTTACAAAATAAACCAACCTTTTACAGCGCATAATGATGTACTGTTTAGCGATAAGACGCGCGTTCAATGTGTGATTGTATAACATGTAGAAATACAATGCATGACGATATAACGGGTAACAATACAACGCTGATGTGCATGAAAATTTGTATAAAGGTGATAATGTAATTAGAAATTTTTATATTAATTTGACTCGGTTATCGCAAACTGTAGCGAGAGCGCTGATTAGAATAATTCAAATTAAGAAGTTAAAAAATTTATACTTACAACAAAAAAATTCAGTTTACTACTAGTTACAAATTTGATGTAAAGCACACTTCTATGTTCATTAAAACAATTTTATACAAATTCATGGTTCTTTATTAATGATAATAAACGATAGGTTAAATCAACTTTTTACAAGCTCTCTTCTTTATTTCTCACACTCTCACCCTCACACGCCCATTTTTTTCATATACATAAGTATACGTTAAAAAAATTCGGAAAATTTACTGATCAAATATAACCGGTGTTTCAAAATGATCGATGAGTTTTAACGTAATCTATTGATTGATTAAAATTTACATAATTACCTTAACAAGGAAAAAAAATTTGTGTTAATTAAATTTTTAGTAAAGAATACGTGATACAAATTCATTAAACAACAAATATCTTAAATAATAATATATACATTTAAGTTGATCGATCATTAATTCGATCAAAATTCGAAATTACATTTTTATTATTTAGGATTTAAATGATAACTGAGTAAATCGTTTACAGAATTATTTCTCTGGCCAATCTTCGGTAATGTTAGATTTTCGTTACAATATATTGGCGAAAAGAGTATATTAAACAATATTTTTAGTTAAAAGTTTATAATAATAATCTCCGAAAATCCCTCATCTTCCGAGAGACAGTTTATTGTAAGATATTTAATTAACCAGCATTTACGTAATATTTCTAAATAAAATTTGCAATGTTGTTTAAATTCAAATGTACATAAATTGTGTAATTAATTATTCAATTACAGTTTCATATTTTACAATTAAAATGTGTATCAAATAAATAGAAAGGTATACATCATTTGTTATAAATCATTTCATAGTATTATAATATTTATATTCGTTTAAATACATGTATGTTCGCCAATTATACATTAAAAAAATTACTTTATGGTAGGACTGTTTTCAATCTCCTGATTGGCCGAGAATGAAATAAATCTATATTTAGAATATATCGAAGATTGTTGTTCCTGCTTCGTTCAGAACTTTTATGGAAAAAGAATTTCAAGATCATCAACATCAGAAAAAGAAAAATCAGAAGAATCGGGAGATCTGCTATAATCTGAAATATCTCCTCCAGGATCGTCTCCATCGGCCGCATCATCATCATCGTCGTCGTCATCATTATTTTCACTGTCGTTTCTCTCATTTTCATCGCCGTTCTCTTCCGCTACCACGTCTGCGTTGTCTGCGTCTATTTAAAAACCAATTTTATTTCATTTTTAAAATATTCTGATAAGTAATGTTTATCACAGATAGAGATAAATAAAAATGGTTCATTATTTTAAAGAATTATATTTATTATAATATAGAAATTTATATATTAAAGTCGAATTCAAATTGAATTAGATCTGAAAAAATCAAAAACTTAAATTAGCGATCTGTACAACTATAACAAATAATATAGTTTTTTCGAAATTCCAGATATATATCAACTACTATAAATAGAATTTATCGTTTGTTTCTTAAAATATATTTTAATTTAACAATAGATTGCAAAATAATAATTTATAAATTTTGGAAAAGCATTTTGTAACTAAGATTTTTAAATAATTCATAATAGCAGATTCGTACCATCAGCGTTATTATCATCAGAACCTGAATTCGAACCATCATCATCACTTGCATCAAGATCTTCTTCATCATCATCTTCATCTGCTTCATTTTCATCATCTCTCCTTCTTCCAACATCATATAACCTAACGCAAGATTCCTGAATACTATCAAATTCACCCTGGTTTTCAACAATTGCTATTTGTGTGTCAAATTTATTACAAGCTAATCCATAAATTCCTCTTTTGACATCGCAAGTTGCTGTAATTATTTAAGTATAATGATCATTATAATTTATTTAATTTTATAATAATAATAATAATCAAATACAATTCATGATTACTTACCAATATTACTGTAATCTAAAGCATCTAATGTTTTAAATGAAGTAACATAATGCGATTCATCTCCATTTTCTTGATCTAAAGATACAGCATATATAATATTATTAACTGGAGAAAAGATTACTTCCATTTGATCAAGCGTTGGCACTGTCTTCAGGAGATGAAAAGTTCTTAAATCCCAAACTTCTGTGTTGGATACTACCTCAGTGCCTGTAAAATGAAATGTATTATTTAATATTAATATATTATTTTATTTTCAATATTATATATATAGTTACAGAATTTATGTAAATACCGTTTGGATGAAAAACTCCATTAAGTGTTTGATTTAATTTGTCGAACTTGTGAATTTCTTTTCCTGAATTTACATCCCAAAGAATTCCATCGCTAAGAACCAATTCATCATTCATACTAAATGTAGCTCGATTTTTGGTATACTGATTAGAAATTGAAGGCGTAAGAGTAGTTAATAATTTTCCGGTAGCTATATCATAAATCTGAAAATAAAAGTTACAGAAATGTCAATTTTTAAATATTCTACTTCTAAAGCCTCATTTAAATCCCTATAACTAGGGCTTGTGTAGACAAATTCTTATAGAAAAATTCTGTAGGAACAGAAGTACGTACAGTCGCACTTTCACCTTGGGTTCCAATAATTCTATCTTGAAGTTTACCAAATTCAACGTAATCCTCGTTTTCTAAAGATAATTTTAAATCAAAGAAAGTTCCTATACTCCAGAGTGCAGACATAGGGCTTCTCCATGCGGTAGATGTTAATAATAAATTTCCACGTTGATTACATTCCATATGATAAACATAAGATTCATGACATGGATATGTTGCTTCTTCTAGCCCTGTATGTGCATTGAACATTTTTACATCTCCTGCATAAGTACCTAACATTAAATATTGCTGACAGGGCTGAAAAATAATAAAATACATTGTTAATGTTTACTACATTTGAACCTTTTACTTTTTATTGGCAAGGAAAGTAAAATATCTCCTGCTCCAATAATGATAAATTAATATAGAAATTATTTTACCGAAAAGATACAACAGGTAAAGGTTCCAACGTCTGTAGGCCGGAAAGTTTTTACAGGACAAAATCGGCTATAAATATGTCTTCTATCCAATCTCCTACCATCTATACCTAATGCTCTTCTGGCCAGTCTTACTGTTACATTTGTGGGAATTGAATTTTTTGTACATGGATCTGGACACTTATGCGGTCTACAAATGATTAAAATATTTTACACCAAACCATAAAAATTCACAAATAAGTATGTTTCAGAAAGACTTAATTTAAAATTTATAGTGTATAAATTAACTTAAAGAATACTTACTCAAAGAGATTAAATTGTGGACAAGTAACCATAGGATTTTTACATAATGCGTGTTGATTTGTTAAATACTCTGTAATAATAGAATCCAATGTTATAGTAGATGGATTTGACGTAGCAACTCCAGGTCCACCACCTCCAGGATCCCGTGAAATTTGTTTCTGTAGTGATCTACACACAGCTGGATGCATAACTGACTGACAATTTATTGGATTGACTAGAGGCTGTTTGTCTTGGTTTTTCCTAATAGAAGTATTCAATCATTTTTTAAAACTACATTTAGTACCAATAATATAAAATAAAACAAATATTTTCACAATAATATGTATAAAAAGGAAGATCATTATAAAATTATTCACTTACTTTTGGTTAATTTGTAGTTTAATTGGTTGATTTGTGCTATTTGGAACATTTTGATTCAGACAGTCAGAAAGTTTCATGCGTATATTGTTTCCAGAAGATAAAGATGATGAACCTGAACCTGAATTCGTGTGAGACATGTATCTAGATGATGAAGTAGGAGTGGTATTGTTTCGAGAAGTCACTTCCCTCTGAGTACATCTATTTGTATTATATAAATTAACCGGAGCTCCAGGAGAAAATCCATTTCTTGTTCCAGTAGTAACAGGACTGCGATAAGTAAATGGTTGATATGTAGAAATTGGTTTCATTATTGCAAATGAATATAAATTTGCTTCTCTATGAAGAGTCGCAGCAGTTTCTGTTAAACCCTTTGACATTAAATGTTGATATATTAATTGATTTAACTGTTGCTCATTATATTGTATTCTAGTTTGGGCTACTACATTTGCTCGATGTAAACTAGCCAAAGAAATTTCGTATTCTGCTCCAGTAGGTTTTGCTTTCCCAGAAACTCTTTCCATTAATTCTAAAGCATATTTCTGAAACATAACATGTTCTTGTCTTTTCTCCTGGAGTATTGGATCCTTCATAAGGGCTTGAATTTGTCCATCAGTAAACATTGGAAGTTTACTAATTATTTGTCTGACTTTCTCACTGCGAGCTAAACCTGCTAAAGCTCGACACGCTAACGCTCTTATGCTATCCGCATCGGTGATTGGAGTTTTAACCATCATCAACTGCAGTAAAACCATTATTCCATTATTTGATCTAACGCTTTCCCAAATTTTTTGTATTAATTCTTCACTGTTATTAATATTTGCTTTTTTCTTAGCAGAGCCTGTTACTGAATACCTTGCTACATTACCACCAATTCTGTTTATTGGTGCACAAACACAATTAATTACAGCTCTTAGTGCAGCTCTTTGTACATCAGGATCTGCAATAATTTCACATTCTGCTGCAGCTAAGAGTAAATTAATTGCCATTGTCATTGACATATCTGGCATATCCACTCTTTCACAAAGTAACAACATTACTTTTGGCACTACAGAACAAATAGCTATAACATCCAAACAAGAACGAACTGTTTCTGCACTGGAAGCTGTATGAACTCGACCACTATAATTCCATTCTCTAGCGAACGCAATAATTTGCAGAAGAAGTGTTATACCTCCTAAGCGATATAACTCTTCTACTGGTGGCCATACTGCTCTTACAGACATTAATTCTTGAAGAATCTCTACTTTTGCTTGTACTTCCTCACTACTCAATTTACAAGCCTTATAAGGTGGTAAGGATGGCTGCCACGTATCACGCTCTGCTCTAACATTTTCTGCTCTTTGTAACTGTTCTGCTTTAAGATGTAAGTGGGCTTCCATGTATCTTTTCAAAGCTACTGCAACATGTCTAACGATTTGTCTAGAAGCACACTCTTCATCGTCGTTAAGTGTTGGTTCTTCTTCTATATTTAAAATTGGTAGCGTGGATATCACATTAAAAAGTTTTCTAAGTCCATCCTGTGCATCAAATTCTTCTAATATTACTTTAAAAGGAAAAGAAAATCCAAAAAACATTGTTGCATGACATCTTCCAGAATCGTGACTTCGTTCTAGAAGCCATAATGCATAGGTAACAAGATCCGAAATAACGTGTTTCGGTAGCAGGCACACTCTTTCCATCGCATCTTCACAGTATGCTAAATAATATAAACAAATAGAAACCCCAGTAGCTGCAACACTGGGTCTTGGAACATCCAATAGCTTTTGCAAACCTCCAACATTAAGGAATTCAATGGAGAATTTTTTATGACACAGAAGAGAAGCTAAGTATTTTAAAGCTTCAAAAGCTAAGCGACTGTCCTTGGTTTCTCTAACATTGATATACTTGAGAATTAATTCCAAAGCATTTTGTTCAAATACATGACCTAAGAATTCTTGATATTCACCCATAGGTGTAAGATACCTGTCATACAATAAAAAAAAGGGATTCTTTTAATTAATATTCTTACCTTTATCAGTGTTTGTACTTCAAATACAACTATTTCTATTATAATATGTAATAAAATTAATATATTCACCTTAAAATCAGCATTTGTCTTGTAGCCAACGTTGGTGGATGTATCTGTACATTTCCAATCACGTATGATTCCATTTCTGCCCATGAAGAGTTTGAATTACCTTCTAACAATGTAGATGGAGAACTGGAATTCAGAGTCGAAGATGCAGAGTTCTTCTGCAAATTGCAACGAGCCGAAGAAGCATTCAATGGTCTGCTATGAATACTTTGTGTTTTAGATGGTGTTACTTGATTATTAGAATTGGAATTCTTTGGCACAGACAGAGGTGGAGACATTATTTCTGGATATATAACATCATTTTTTACAGGAGTTTCACAATCGATATCATTTTTCTTCTTTTTAGGTAAAGGAGCAGAATCTTCAGATTGAACATAGTCCTCTTCCTCTTCAGAAAAATAATTACTACGACTAGGACTTTTAAGAATACCATTTTCTTTCCGTTTCTCTCTTACCTTTAAAGAGAATGTTAATATTACAAAATTTGTAATTCTTAATTACAAACTTATTATCAATTTATTATTTATCAAATGAAATTGTTAAAAATATATACACATATTTTCAAACAATATTTTGTACTATGACTTACTTTTCGTTTCCCAGGAACACCTTTATTTTCACCATCTCCTCCACTATTTCTATCTTTCCCAAAATGTGCAAATGGTCTATTATTAGCTGCAAGTTGTCTATCTTCCTGCATCTTTTCTTGTAATTTATGAAGCCTCTGTAGCATCAAAGGTACCATTTTTGCATTTTGTTCTCTAAATCCTGCCACATGGATATATAGAATTAGTTTTTACATTATATATTCTATACATTTATTTTTAAAGTTATTATGGAAATTACTCTAAACTTCAAAATACCTGTAGCAATTTCTTGAACTTCCATTGCAGCAGCTACGAGCCCAGTCGCATAACTCTGGAGAGGTTCTATACTTTTTTCTGCCCAAGAGAATAGACGATGAGTAAGTCCTTCCATATCTGGTTGAAATACCGCAGAAGTTTCTAAGCCAGGAAGAATATCAAGCATAAGACGACAAGCTGCTATATTGAGTTTTCTAACATCACGACCCGTGATACCAGCACGAGACCAATAAGTGTCTCTTAAATAATCATTTATAAGCTGTTCAAAAATAAAAAATTATATAAGTATTTTCTTTTTCATGACAATATAATGTCACATGTTCTTTAACATGTATACTATTCCCTTCCATGACATTACCTTAGTCATAAAATTATCTTTTCTAAACAAAACTTTCAATATATGTCCAAAATTACACTCTGGATCTGTGCGTGATGGGTGTCTTTCATCAAATGGATCTGGATCCATTTTCAAATAGTTCTCTGTTTCTAATTCTATAATCTCTGCCAATCTTTGAAGAGTTGGAATTGGGTCATAGGTAGGCGATGAATGTTCCTCTTCCCATTGTCGAAGAATTTGAACTACATCTGTTACTTCAGCTAATGATTCTGCACTTGACATCTTTGTTTCTGTTGTCCTGTAAATATAAATTTAATCTAACATAAAGATTTTTGACAAGAATTTGAAAATCGCTTTTTGGTTTTGCTAATTATTAATTTGTCTTTATCATTTTATTATGATGTCAGTATATTTTCTTTATTTTTATTATGCAACAATATATTATTTTCATATCTGTGAACAAAATGACAATATGGTTTTCTTAATTATTTTTAATTGTTATATGTCTCTTCTCTTTCATATTTCTGTATACATTAAAAAAAAAAATAATAAAAAATAAAAATTTTATTATAGAAACATAATATATTCAATAATTCATTGTTTTGAATACTTATTATCAGTATTTCATTATTAACTTATTTACAAATTAAAATTAAAAATAACTAATGTTACAATAAATCGAAACCAATTAAAAAGAGTAGTGTAAGCAATGCAACTGTACATTATACAACAAAATTATATGTATAATTGCATGATTTTTCAACTTAGGACAAACATAATATACATAATTTTGTACTAAATAATCAAAGTTTAAAATAGCTGAATTTAATGTTTGTCTACGATCTCAAATCATTAAATAACTGATCATTAGATCTGAAATCAATTGATAACTTAACCTTAAAATTGAATATACAACAAACAAACGTTAATGCTTTGAAATCAAACGTATAACGTACCAGTAGAAAAATATTAATTATCTAAAACAACTGAAGCGGATACAAGAATGTAAAATATTTATAAAAACAGTTTGTTGACATTTTTTTAAAGTAGAACGGGAAAGGCAGCGTGTATCTTATTAGGTTAGAATAAACGAACCATTACCTCTTTGAAATTTATTTGACAATTAACTTGTTTGACAGTTATCACAGTGTATGTCACCTTTTTACATGAGCTATAGTATTAAATTGAGAAAGTACGCAAAATTCCAATTAAAAACAATGTTTTCCTAGCAAAGTACGAAACGCAACCACCAACATGCACGCTGAATATGGGGTGATTAATTCGCCTGATGGAAATGTAATGAAATGTCATAATAAAGCGAGATTATTTTAACGTAAATGTTACTTTTTTTATTACTACTTTTTATATATTCAGTACTTGACAAATTATTTTATAAAACATATGTTTAAAATTTGAAATATTGTTTTTCATTAGATAACATTATTTAACAAAAGATGATTAATATAGTTAATGTAAATCTTCTCATTAATCATATAAAATATATAATTTTACACAATAAAAGTATGATAGTTCACAATTTAGAATTTTTATTAAATAAATATAATTATAAAATGACAAATGTAATCGTTATTTCTAAATATACAGATCATTCCACGAGAGAATAATCTCAATCTGCGCAGTTTGACAACTTCAGCAGATTTCGAACTACAAACGTGATACCTCTCTATACTTTATTTTTATAATCATGGTCATGTACATGGTGGGGAAAAAATATTAAATATGCATTTGAATATCGAAACATGCATAAAAAAATAAACATTCAATTTTGGATATTGATTATTAGCGTACCTATAAGTATAAAATAAAATATTTTGTCTACCAAACGGAACATACTGTAATCATGAAAAGAATTAGGAGTCATGAAACTTTTTGGCCACTAGGTATATACTTTTATGACATGACAGCAGTGATGGGCAGTCTCAGCGCATGCGCAGTAAGCTATCCGTAGAAGTCCTCAGTAGCGTATACACTTTGATGAAATATAAGGTATCATTAGGCCCTAGTGAGGAAAAAAAATAAATCTGAAGAAAATTGTAGGAAAGAGAATAAAAGGGTTAAATAATACAACAGATTATATATAATAAAAGTAATATTAAATTTAATTATAATTATTATTACTTTTTACGTTTACAGCCGATTTGTTATATGAATACCAAAATTTATTGCAAGAGCAAAGGAAAATATACCGCTCGATTTTTATCAGATCTATGCATGTTAACAAAATAAAATCCTTGTATTTCTTTCTTATTGTTTCTCTGATATTATAATTTTCACACGTATAAAATATAGTTATTCAAAGAGGTCCTTCCAAGTCGTTTTTTTTAAATAATAAATTTATTTAGTGTTTTAAAAGTTATTGTGTGGTTCTTAAAGTTATTGTGTTTTGTGTTATTTTAAATATAATAATCTCCCATATTCCATCATATAATTCCCATTATATTATATTATATATATATATAGTTGTATAGTTTTATACAGCCATACATATAACTACTTATATTACTACGCATATTACTACTTTAACCCTCATTATCCTTATCATTCTTATTATTATCAATAGTATTACGCATATTACGACTACTATCGTCGCTGGAACTGTAATTATCCTTATTACTCTTATTTTTATCAATATTATTACGTACATTACGCGCTGGAACTGTAATTATCC